TTCTGGTACCTTATCGGTTCTGTTCCAGAAACAGGTTAAAACAGGGCCCTCAGCAGGCCATTAAGCAGGCATACTTGCTCCTCACATTTCCGACAGAGTAAGGGTGTGTCGGCTCTAAGCCCTGCCCTTTCTTGGTTTCAGCTGTGGTTCTCATGACAAAACTGCCAAAAGTGAAGGTTCGTGTAACACAAGGACAATGACACTGTAGCACGGGATTCTGGTAATGTGGTCCTCTCAGAACCTTTGGGCCCTGTTCTAAATGTGTTATCTTTCCTCTACCTTTCCAACTTCTTTTAAGTGGTCAGCCACATATTTGGAGCATCTTAATTTGGGCTGTGAGGTTTCTCTGACAGTGCAGTAGAAGCTACCATTGCACTAAGGTAATTCCTGTACAACATCGTTACGCACAGGTTTTTGCGTAGATATGCAAATATTTCCCTAGCAATAATTCTCCCTATACCATTTGTTTGATTGCTAGGAGAACTGAACAACTGATCAATGTAATTAATGTGTATGAACACTCTTTTTGTCTGGCATTTTCCCAACTACAAAAACCTCTTGTTTTTGTATTTTGCTTATCAGACACATATTCCAAAGCTTCCCTCCATTAGTGATTTCTCCTAGCTTTCTTATCCTTTATAAATATTACATTTTTATGTCAACAAATCTGCTGTTCTTATCCCTTAAATTTGCTGGCTTTGCTTCAAACATTTCTACCCCAAATTAGAAAAAAAATACAACCCTTAGTTTCTCCTACTATATTTATGATCCCAATAAATTTTTAAAAATCAACACAAATCTAGTTGAGATGACATGTGGAATGTAATTAGAATCTAGACTTATGTTTTTCCAGGTGCTAAAATGGTTGTCCCAACAAGTAATGAATAACTCAACTTTACTAAATTGATAATCTAAGTGACACCTCAGGTGATTTCTTTAGTTGACATTTACTTAGGTAAATTTATTTAGGCTCAAGTTTTTGTTAAGTCATTTTCTTTCTTCATTAGTTAAGGAACATGGGCAATGCCATTGTTATTATTATTCCTCATCTGCTACTCATTTAAAAACACACATTCTTGAGTGCTTCCCTAGGGTACTTCTATCTAGCTCAAGCACTCTGCCTCACTCACACCTACTGTTCTTTCAGCACACAACCTCAATGTCACTTTCTTGGAAAGAACATCCCTGCAGTGGAAACCACTCTGCATATCCCTGAAGTACGTTTCCATAGCTCTGCACTTGTGGGTAGCACCTGTGCCATGTTTTATTCTTAAAAGTTAAGGTTTCCTGTCAAATGTCCCCCGTTTTTGGAGTGAAAAATGCAGGAGCACATGGCATACATTGGTATTATGTTTTTATAATCCTAACACATACTAACTAGTACCAAGGTTTGATTAGCAGTAATTTTTTTTTTTTTTTTTTTTGGTACTGGGAATTGAACTGAGGACCTTACACTTGCCAGGTAGGCACTTATTCCACTGAGCTATATCCCCAGCCCTGATTAGTGGCAATTTTTAAAGGTATCAGGTCCTCTATCTCATCTCCCAGTGCGAAATAAAAGCAAAAACACCTTCTTATAAAATGGCCAGTATCTGCACTGAGATTTCAGTCTATCAACATAACATCATGGAAAAGGACAGCTTGGAATAAAATGTTTTGTGGTAAAAGTATAGTCAGGGTATATTAAATATTTATATGATCATTATGAGAGTCACAAATTGTTCAGGAAACAGCTTATGGGCAGTACGAGTCTAAAGCCCCTAGAATTAGTGGTACTTATTTTCAACTTCTTCCTTTAAAATTGTGTTAGTGGTGACGAAAGTGTGGAACACCAGGATGACAGAACATGGATGAAGAACAAAGGCATAAGTACTCTTTCCAATGTCAGGAACACAATTTGCAGAGAGCATTTATTTGACCTCACCTTAGAATGTATCTGGCATCAATACTGCCTTTCTGGTCTTTTTCTGGAATTCAAAGAAATAGAACTCCAGCAATTAAAGAAAGAATAGAAATGTAATGTTTAGAAGAATAGAAGAAAGAATAGAAATGTAAGAATAGAAATGTAATACATTTTTTACATAGCAGTAGAGTACTCTGTATTCACTGGAAACACAACTGTTTTTAACAGAATGAAGTATTGCTAATATAGCTGATCTATGAACAAATATTTTAATGTAGCTGTTTCTCAATTTCTTTCTGGAACTGACCCTTGATGCTTTTCTTTTTTTAAAGTCATTTTATAGGGTTCCCACAATATAAATCCAAATAGTAAGGTAAGGTATTTTAAACTCATTTCAGTGATGCTGTTGTGGATATTTTCAGAACCCACTTTTTGAGAATTGCTTTAATAGTTCAAGTAAGTCTTGCAACTTCCCTCGTTTTCTTATTTCATAATGCTTTCCTCATCCTCTCTTCTATTAACACCCTATGAGCCTTCACATCTGACTCAAGTCATGCTGCTGAGAAATCCCTGGCCTCTGACTACTCCACATATTTTCTGAGCTCCCAGGACAGTTAGTTATTTGATAAAATGCTTGGAATGCTATATATTAATATTCCATTACGTAGTATTATAATATTTTAAGTGAAGCAACATAATTGAATATGCCTCAATATTTTTAAGATACTAATGTGGTATTTTGAGCTCTGGGACTCATAAGTCTAGTTTTAAGTTCACTTTATTTCAACACTGACTTTAATAGTTGTCATAAATGGAAACCTATGGAATTTCTTGAATTCAAGAGGAGGATATCATAAAGTGTATTAAAATTATGTTATCAATTTTGCAATAGAGCCACCAGTGTGGGTAAAAGATTTTGTAGACACTTTGTTAAAATTCAGTAAACTTACATCTTCCCTGGCCAATCAGTTCTCACAAGCTAATCATAAAGTCTTGTATTTTTAAAAAAGGTATTTTTAAACAGTTAATATATTTCTATGATATAATATTCAGGAGTGAAAAAAATGCAGTCTCCCTTGTATCTCTGTTCTCAGTCATGGGCTCTGCCAGCTCTATTCATAAATGGGCATTTAAAGATTGTATATATTATCTTCTGACCCATTTTACATTTACTGCGATACTGAATGAGAAAGGATATGGCTGTCCCGTGCCATACGCTCCACCGCTTGTCTTACTTGATCAGAATTTCATTAGTAACTGCTTATTATTATTGGAGCGTGCCCTCTACATGAACCTCGCTCCCCTAGGATGAATGTTATACTCAATTGGTTTGCGTCTCCACCATAGGCCATTTTCAAATATTTCAAGAGCCAGTATGGATTAGGGTTCAGAATCAATTCATATGACCCTAGAGAGCCGAAATGTCTTAGGGTCATGTGTGTTGGTTCATGTAACAGCTAGTCTTTTAGGTATGGTATCGTAGGTAATTTTGTATCCCCAGTGTCTGGACCATAGTAGGTACTCTTCCATATTACTGGGTGAATGGCTAAACTTCTAATAAAGAGATATTAAAAACTAATGGGCTGATTTAAAAGACACTGCATTCTCTTAACACTAGAGCCAAATGTAGAAAGCCATTTATTAAACATATAAAAATTTATTCATTAGTAAGAAAATAACTCAAGTGATGTCTAAGATCTCTAATTGATTTAGCAATCTAGTCTAATATGAAAAGACTGTTTTCATAATAGAGAAATTCTTTAGGAAAAGTGATGAGAGGCCTAGCAGGAAAATCCTGCAGAAAGGACATACCATCTGTCCTTTTGCCATGCATGGATTTTTTCCTACTCTTAGGAAGCAGATGGAATCAAAAGACTAGGCTCAAGGTATCTGGACACTTCAAAAACAGATTGTCCCTCTGCACTGAGAAAACACCTTTGCCTAACTTAATAATGTCCACGGGTTTAGAAAGCCTGTTTCCTTATTTCTTTGATAACGATTTTGATAAATGGGAGATAAATTCATCTGTATTAATCCTAATTATGGTGACTATATTATTACATTTAATTGGAGGGATGCCCATAAAGGGAGAACATAACCTGGTAAGTTTGCAACCAACCCTGAGTCTCTGGCATATAAAATGTCGAGGCTTAAGGCTTATTCTGGTCCTTATCATTTTGTGTAACCTGGGATTATTTAAAATATAAACAAATAGGTTCAAATGTGTGTCTTGACTGAATGATACATTTTTTTCTTCAACTGTGTTTCTTCTCTAAAGATGCCAAGACATTTCTTACCAGAGATATTCCACAGATATAGACAGTATATCTATTAACTCTATTCGGTACTTATTGAATGTTGAATGTGCCTTAAGCAAGGCAGGATTCATTTCATTTGCTGAGGATAAAGGACAAAATAACTAAGGCTCAGCAGAAATACTCATTAGGTTATACACATTCTTTGCTTTCCTTACACTTACTTACATTTACAGATCTGTGACGCCACTGCTTTTTTGATTCCACCTTATACATAGCACTTAATTATGAAAATAGGAAAAAATAAAACTAAAATAGAGAGCATATCCGATACAGTTTTAACAATCTGTTTTCTGATTCCCTTTAGATGCCAAGTTATTCTGAATCACACATAGGACTTATGTTTTATTATAGGATATGTGAAAAAATGTAATATTTTCATGAATTTTATTTTATGTATGTTGATTTCTAGGCACTGATTTTTATGTATGTTAACTCATCTAAATAAACACAGCAAGATTCATTATAAGGGCACGTGTTATTCCTTGTTCAGGCAGAAGGTCAAAAGCTAATCTACTTAGAGAAACAATGCCACTAATACTCTACCTTCAGGTTGAGTTCAGGTTGAGTTAGGCTGAGATTTTCTATAGAAAGCTTCCTTAAACTTAGAAAGGTTCCTGAACCATTTGTAATGGATATAGAAAAGGGCATAAATTTCTGTTCTAGGAAATACTATACAGATGAAATATTTTAATCCTTTGGTAGTTAATACTGAAGGCATAAGTTCTCTCTTAATCCTTTTCCATTCACCTTTTGGAATGTATTTTGTTCTTGATAAAACCCTAGGTGACAAGAGCCAGGAGATACATTCTCTGCAGAACAGGATTCTATTTAAACCCAAGGGATGACGTTACAGGCCAGTTTCGCTGAAGCCAGCCTGGTGGGAGCCTACAATACAAAAGGTTTGTGCTGTAACTGCAGGTTTTGGAATAATGTAGGCTAGATTTGAAATTTCCTTCCTCAAAAGAAGCAGGAAACCTAGGTTTTCCTAAATCTAGGAAAATATACAGAGATAAATCTGTTATTTTTTTCTGTAATTATTCAATTTCAGTTACCTCCGTAGAAATGAACGTCATAAGAGACCACGCTCAGAAAGGTTTTTTTTTTTTTTTTTTTTGTGGGGGTGGGATAGACACCTTCTTGCTTTCTGATGGTTAAGCCTTACCTCTGTAATAGTTGTGTTGGTTGAGTAACAAAAAGAGTGACGGCCTACTTTTCCCTTCCCATTAATAATCAGCCGTCTAGTTAAAGTATATTCAGATAGGCAGATTAAATTGGTGTGGGGAGAGTACTGAGTGTGCAGAATATTTAACTTTATCTTTTAAAATATGGTCTCTTTTGACTATTTCTTGACACCTTCATTTTATCCATAGTTTGTGAGAAGGCATGTTCACAACACAAATTTTCTGTAGCTGAATTATGGAACCCTTAGGTATATACTCAATATGTGGTAGTACTTTAGCTTGTCAGGGCATGGCATAGTTTGGTTGAAAAGGTATAAGTTTTTAAACTGTAGACGGTACAGTTTACCCCTTTCTTCATTAGCAACATTAGATTATATCAAAACAAATGATGATCTTTTTAATGATCCAGTTAGGAGTTTGTTAGCTGCCTCTTGGAAGATAGCATGGGAGTAAGTAGTGTCATTGAGTTTAGTGTGGGTTGTTTGCAATTATTTAGCCAGTCACCTGCTCCTCGTGGAGCAGGAATCTGTTCTAAGTATTCAGGTTAGGAATCTGTTAGGAATCTGTTAGGAATCTGTTCTAAGTATTCAGGTATGAGAGTGGCTTTACTCCATGTTTGGCTTAACTGTTTGGTGGCAAACAAACTGCAGTGCTTCATTTAGAGTTGCACAATCTCTAGAGAAGTGGCCAAGGCCTCTAAGGGGTTTCTGAAAGGGTGGGGCTTGAGAAAAAGTGAGAGGGGTCCATTCGGTAATTGGTTCCAGTTTAGGCAAATAGGAACAATGGGACAGTCTTAGACCTACTTCTCAAAGTATGTGGACTGGTGTACTTGGAGCCAAGAGGTTAGCATGATATTACCAGGAATTACAGTTTAAGGTTTTCCAAAACCTTCACTTGCCAGACAAGACTCTCAAGATGTATTGCTAGGTTGGGTGCTATGGGTTCTTCTTCAGAGGAACCCCATTTCTCCTCCAGAATAGACACAATTTATGTACCAAGTAATTTTTTTCTTCTGCTTCACTTTCTGATTCTGGTAAGCACTGAGGAGAAGGAGTTCTGGGACCCATTAGAATAAAACAGAATGAGGATCTAGAAAAAGTTAATGGTCTAAGCCAGCAGAGAACTGATCAACATTGATAAATAGAAACAAGAAATAAAAAAATCATTCACCAAGATTAATTTGTCTCTCAGTCCATTACACACAATCATCTACAAAATATGCCTCTGGCCCATATCACTGTATAGCTTATCTCAAGACTACACTGCACACCCTTCATTTAAAAAGAAAATATCTTAGTCCTCAAGAGCAGTTCAGTGTGTAACGTGTTAGTGACTGAACAGTGGCATAAGTCAAGGAGTATGTCTTTCACATCCTTGCTACTCAAGAAGAGAAAGCTCTTCACCTAGGCAAGGTGAGTTTCCTAGTGTCTTAACTGGTAATGAGACTGTGAAGAGATGTCTGCACCTTCTGTTCTGTTGGCGGTGATAGTATATTACTTGGTAACACAAAGAGCTCAGTAGTTGCTTGCTTGCCAGCTGGTGAAGCAACTTTTGTGCAGTAGGGATGATGCGATGAGTTAAGGATGTGTGGTATGCAATGATCTGATGTTTTTCAGAGGTGATACAAATGCCCTTGGAAACTGGTGACTTAATGGACTATCTAGAAAGGTAACCTTCACCTATGAATGAGAAGCCTAGAGACATGACTAAGCCTGAAAGCACTAGGTAACATTACTGTCCATATAACCTTAGGGTATCCAAGAATACAGATGCTGAACAAGAAGCCTTATAGATCTTCCCTTATCTATATAAGTCCAGGCTGATGGTCCTGTTAGGAATGGTTTTTACAAAAACAAAAATTGAGAAAGAGTCTGGGACTGGGCCAGTTTGTTTTTAAGTATGTAGTTCTCACCCAGAAAATTGTTTCTGCAAAAGCAGAGCCGTTGTGCCCAATACTCTAAAGAGACAGTTTAACATTTTACCTTAAAATATGCTTGTGGGGATGTTAGCACTAGATGTTAGGGTTCCTGCTGGGATCTCAGAGGTTGTAGACATATGCCCAATTTTATATAGCTGTTCTACAAAAAGAAAAAATACATGAAAATTGACTGGTTCCTTCTGAGTAGAAAACATTAATTTCAATTAAGAGACAAACAAAAGAAGAGAAGTATGGGCTCATTTCACTTGCAAAATGATAAATATTTCTTAGCAGAAACCAACAGTATACTAAAAAAAAGGGATGCTACAATCAAGTAGAGCTTATTTTAGAAAGTAAGACTAGCTCAAGTTTAGAAAATTTAAGCTTCCAAAATTGGGGAAAAAACGATAAATTTAACTTTTCAGTTACTGATCAACAATGTTTTGTTTGTGCTACTGGGGATTGATCTTAGGACCTTAAAATGAGCTATATCTCCAGCCCTTTTTTTTAATTTTTTTTTTTTTATCTTGAGACAAAGGCTGGGTAAGTGGCTAAATTGCCTGGGCTGGTCTTAAATTTGAGTTCCTTTCATAACAGAACAGAGCACTGTGATTACAGGGATACAACACTATGCAAGGCATCCTGATAAATGTTTTAAAAGAACAAAGCAAAAGGTATGATAGACATTGTGAAACGAAAGGAAAATGCTCAAGGGTAAAGGGCAATTGGGATGTGGGAAAAGAGAAGGGAAAGAAGGAGAAATTTTGTACGTATGTATATACAGGATAGTTAACATGGTTGAACTACTGTCTTCTGTTTCTTTGCTGAAACAGTTAATGATGCCTTGACTGATCAGTACTGCATGTCTCCATTTGTTTTCCTGAGAAACCACTTTGAAGATATCAATATGTAATATAAGAAGCATTGTTAATTTCCTACCACTTTGTTTGTAACTCTGTACTGTTTGTATTGTTCTTTTGCTATTTTGTAAATGGTTGTCTGTTTGTTAATGTTTTCCTTATTTAAAAAAAAAAATAAAAGAACAAAGTAAAGCAAAACACTCTTCACCACGCTAGAAAGACATCCTTTTCAACTTGGTAAAATTCAACTACCTTAAACTTGAAGTAATATTATCCTAAATAAGATTAGATATAGTCCCTTTAAAAGTAAAATTAGGTAAAGACGACCACGATGACTGATATTGTCGAATGTGGTACTGAAAATCCTAGTCAATGTGACAAATAGTATGACAGCTGTATGAACTTATGCTCTTAACTTCTATACGAGCAATGCTGAGTAGAAAAGAGAGCTTTATAGTTTATATGGGAGGAGCACAATTCTACACACAAATAAACTGTTTAAATAGAAGGATAAAGGGAGTTCTTGACCTTCAGAATATGAAGACCTATTACAAAAACCACAAAAATTAAAACAGGGTGAAATTAGCAGAAGAACAAATAATCCAATGGAGCAGAGTTCAAAATTAAGTCACATATAATTTGAGGATATAGTATAAAATAAAGTTGGCACATAAAGGAGGAAACTGACATATTTAGTACATTTATTGGTGTTATTAATGGGAACATGAGATGAAGAAAATCTAGACTTTATACCCATATAATCTCACGTATAAAGGAGGAGAAAGAAATACAGTAGGATGGTAAAACTTTAAGTTAATCAAACATAATACAGTAGAATACCTTTATAACTCGAGCCCAAAAATGACCAAAAAATGACTAGTAACATGAAAATTAATAATGGACTGAACTAAAGATATCTTTTAAAAAACTAACTACAAATCAACTTTGTAAAAAGTAGCAACTTCATAGGTTGGGGTTATAGTTTAGTGATAGAGAGCTTGCCTATGGGTGAGGTCTACCCTAGGTTTGGTTTCTAGCACTACAAAGAAAAACTATGTAGTAACTGCAATAAAAAATAAAGGACAATAATACCTAATTAACAGAGAAAATCTAGAGGCATTAATAATATGATCACATTATACTATCAGTTTGGTAAAAATAAGAAAGCTAGGAAAGTGTTAATGAGTTCCCATAGGAACTGACCGTGCTGATGGAATTATATACAGTGGTAACAATTATGAAAAACAATCTGGTAGCAATACCTAGCTGAATTAGCTATTTGTCATGATCTAGCATTCTGAGTGTGTAGCAAAGAAATTCTTCATAAGACCAACATGTAGTAGGATATGCTTTCAAGCTTCATCAGCGATGATAAAGAGAAGCATTCTATGTTTCCATTAGTGGACGAGAGGATAGATAAAATATGGGTAGCAGTACATTAGAAGTAAAAGTAGCAATATGGATGGACGTTAAGGCATAACTCTAAATGAAAAAAGCAAAAACAATATTAAGATCTCATTTACATCTCTAGTTTCAAATACGCTGAATTGTGTGGCTTTATGGATGGTTTATGATCAGAAAATTTCTTCTAATGAGTATTTTCTGTTTCCCACACATTATTTTTATAGATTTTAGTTCCTCGTACAAAGTTTGGCACGTACTAGTGGCGGATCTTTAAGTGTATTTGAAAAAAATTCATGAATGATTAAGGCCCGAAGTAAATAGCTACAGTATTTTTAAGCCACATTCTGTTTTATTCCAGAGAAAGAAGTAGTCCCAAATTCTATTTTATGATTTAATAATATGGTGCACAAAGACAAATGAAACAATTTTTGAAGTAACATCAACAAAGGCGATGCTACAACAGCAAAACAAAGGAAATTGCTTATAACTTCATGAGACATGAATGTAACTATTTTTAAATTTAGCTTTCAATATTACACAGTTCAATCAAAAAACAATATTCTAGCCTCTGTCACACACAGAAAAGTTTATTTTTTCTGAGTCAAGAGAACGAGTTGGTTTTTAATTATTTTGTCCTCTTATATTTTTATTGCTTTCATTTCAACCAGGCTGCAGAGGCAAAATTACATTTCAGTTATGGTGTTACTCAAACCATTCTTTAAAAGCGTTACTGTACTTTTAAAATCAACAATAAAAACTATTGAAGGCACACATAAATTCTAGACATGTGACATAACAGTAAGTCCAGTTTTTCTCTCTTTACGTTCCACATGTCATTTTCCACACCAAAACTGAATTAACCACATTTGCTCTATATACTTAGATGTATAATTTAACTTTAAAGAATGACAACTTTCAAGTTTTGGAAACTGACAACCCTAATACATGTATTCCTTAGTTTTTATTACTTCTTGAACTAAGTTTACCAAGAACATGAAAAAATTTATCCCTACAGTCACTATTATTTGTTCTTCTACTGCCCAGCATTAAAAACAAAAGTCAAGAATCATGTAAATTTTATAGCAGCGAGATGTTTAAATTTAATCCAGCATCTTCCAACAGTTAAGAAAAATATGGTTAGGCTGACCTCTGGTGGCCAGAGGCCTCATTCTTCAGCAACTGACAAAGTAGTATGAAGTTTCTCACTGGTGGGTGAGACAGCTGAAAAAATATAGGAAAGAAATACTATTTGTAATTTTGTAAGGTAGCAGAGGTAGTAAGCGCCTAAGGCATAAAAAGTGGAGCGGCAAAGCCCACAAAATGAGAAATAGGTCACCAAATATTAGTTTATTCTTTTAGTTTACCAGTTGACAACATTAAAAACAAATGGTCTATTCGGAGGTTCTCAAACTATGAATAGTTCTGTGCTGTCCAATACTGTGACTACCAGTTACATGTATCCCTGAACACTTGAAATGTGGCTAGTGTAAATAATGTCTGCTTTGCAAGACTTGGGGGGAAAAAGAGATGTAAATTACTTCAATTTATATGGATTGATTACATGCTAAATATTTTGTGCATATTTGGTTAAAAATAATGCCCTTTGTATATTTCTCTTTCTAGGCATTCCAGTTTATAGTGAAATTATAAATGTTACCAGTTTACTACATACATTCTCAGGCTTTTATGCTTTTGCTATGGTAGATTAATCTGAATCCTTTTTTGTCTTTTCTGAAATCAGACATTTTAAATCCACAACTACAGGCAACCAAATGCTACCATAGCCATTACTTAAGCATTTGAACACCTACACAATTCAAGAAATTATGGCACATTTATCCAGTAGAATCCTGTAAATGTACCTCAACTGGTTGATCTGAAAAGACTGAGGCAGGGTGTGGTGGCACCCACCTGTAATCTCAGCATTCTGGATAGATAAATTAACAGCAAGTTCGAACCCAGCCTGGACAACTTAATGGGACCCCATCTCAAAATAAAAACAGGCTGTAACTTAGTATGAAGGCCCTTAGTCCAATCCCCAGTATTACAACCCCAAATAAATATTGAACTTACCTTCCAGGGGTTGTAAGGATTAAACAAAGTGTTTGGAATGTTGTCTGGCAAATAAGCGCCGACAAGGAATAAATTATCATTACGTATCAGTATGAATAAACCCCAAAACCAGGGCTGGGGATTTAGCTCAGCGGCACAGCGCCTGCCTGGCAAGCGCAAGGTCGTGAGTTCGATTCCCGGTACCGGTAAAAAAAAAAAATAAACCCCAAAACCCATATTGATTGCAAAAAGCCAGCTACACTTATGATTATTCAGATAATGGTGAAAACAGTATAATCCATTCATTTAGAACTTTATTCATATAGCTACTGTATAAACATTTGTGTCGTGAAAATTAACAGTAAATATGAAAAGTCAATTTTCTTGTGGTGGGGGAAGGTAGTTTGAAAGGACAACATTGTGCAGTCAGTTTTGTAAAGTCTTGTACGCTGAGCTGGTGGTGGGTACAGACGGGTTGGGGAAGGAAAAGCAGCTTCCCTCCAGCCTCCTCCTTGGGTGGGTTACGAATTGATGTAAGACATTAACAGGGGAAAACAGCATATTCATTCGTGTACTTAGAAAAGTACACAAGACTAGAGCAGCGAGATGACAGACACTTACATACCATATCAAAAGATAGAAAGGAGTAGGGCCTTGGGGATTCTGCAGCAGGGGGTGGTGACAGAAGAAAGGGTCAGCAGAGGAACTGTATGGTGCACAAAGGCTGTTTGGTCACCCAGATAGACTCCTAGCAATAAAAACTGTCTGGGATCCCTCTTCCTGATAGACACCTTACTAATGTAGATTGTTTTCATAGGTGTAAATGTCTTGTAAGAAAGGACAGCATTTCACAGGAACTCTTGTGTGCAGTTTTTCAAAACTGTCTGCCCCAAATATGCCAAATATGTATACCTAAGCGTGACAGATTCTGGATGGCTATGTGCTGAGCCTCAACAACGATCGTTATTATCTGAGAATTTCATATTTTATAAAAAACGTTTTAAGATTTAGTTCTTGGTCTTCTTTATTTTTGCCACGACCCTGAAGACCCTTCCATTCTCTGCTTTCGTCTTTGTTTACTCCAGTGTCTTTATGCACGTTTGCAAAGCAGGCCTGCAGAGCCGGCATATTTAGAACCAACTGCAGCAAAATTAAATTGCACTTCTATCTGCAGCGGTTCTCAGACCGCCCTTCAACAGGGCGGGGCCGAAGGCCTTCTGCCCCAGAACTGCGAAACGTCCCCTGCTCGGGCCCAGGCCTCCTGATAGCCCTCTCTCCCTCGTCCACGTCTCTCCAACCGTATCCTTCCTCTCGGGACCCCCGCCCCTCCGCAGGAGCAGGGATCTTCTCAGCAGATTTCCTGTTCTCACCAGGAAGGATCCGTTCTGTTTTCTCGCCTCACAGCCAGCGGAACACCATGTCACATATACCAGCACCAGCTCAGTCCCGAACGTCCTGTTGCGCCTCCTTGATGACTTCACTTCCGGTTTTAGCAAAGCCACTTCCTACCGGAAAAGAAACAGCTGGACACAGCTTGCGCGCATGCGCTCGGACTACCGGGCAGGATAGGGGCGGACCCATCTCTTTCCCCTTGGGCTCCCTATCTTTCGCTAGGTTCTCGCGGCATTTCCTTCTCTCGCGGGAGTTGTTTGAAAGCTTTGGCGGTAACCACGCCCTGCAGAAGCCAGGGCGGTCTCCCGGGATTTTGAGGCGACTGGGGAAGTAGGCTTTGGGGAGGTTCGCAGTGCCTGTCCGCGCGCCATGGGAGCGGAGAAGAGGCTGCTGCCGGTCAAGGAGGCCTTTCGCCTGGCTCAGCAACCGCACCAGAACCAGGCGAAGCTGGTGGTGAAGCTGAGCCGCACCTACGGCACGGTAGGCCCGGGCGCCGCCCCCAGCCTTCCCTGGGGGCGCCCGGTGGCCTCGGACCTCGGCTTCTCAGCGATCTGAGGTTTGCGGCGATCGGGAGACCCGCCCGAGGAAGGGACGCCTTCGTCCAGGCTGTTTTTCCCGTCCTGCTTCGGCCCTGGGCGCTGTGGACCGTTCACTCTGTCCGCGTCGAGCTGGGCGTTGCGCCTTAGAGCGGATCCTGCAGCGCGCAGTTCGCGGAGTTTCCCCTCGGTCCCGCCCCCCGCGGCAAACCCACCCTCGCTTTACTCCGTCCTTGCCCCGCGGTTCCACTGAATCCAATTGCCAGATAGCAGATCGGTCCCTAGCGCCTGCCCTTTCCTACTCGTGTAAATGCTGTGTGAGTGGAGCCGCGGGAGGGATGGGACAGAATTTGGGGAAGATAAATCATCCTGGTGCAAACGAGGAAGGCAGTGTTGCTCTTGAGCTGCTGGTGAAGGAGCACACTTTGATTCCGCTGACACTGCACGCGTATGGAGGGTTCCAGGGCATCGGGAACATGCGAAGGAGTCCTCACCGTCGAAATTCGTGCTTTTGTACTTCCAGAAGTGTGACTTGTCTCCCTTTAGCTAGTTTCGATAATTGAGAGTTCACTAAATAGAGATTTTAGTTTGTCTGAATTACGGTAGTTTACTAGGGTAAGTTTATTAGGGTAGCTTATGAGGTTTGTTTTGTCTTCCAGACGGATGATAAAGCAGCTTTTCACGAGGAGTTCGTCCGTTGCCTTAAATATGCCATGGTGGTCTATAAACGTGAGTCAGCTGTGGAGAGGGTCGTAGAATTTGCGGCAAAGTTTGTTACTTCGTTTCACCAATCCAATGTGGAAGACAATGAAGAGGAAGACGGTGGCATTTTAAATTATTTGTTTACTTTTCTTTTAAAGGTATTATGAAACATAGCACTTTGGGCAAGTGATGTAGAACGTTTTCCCATAAAGTGGGTATATTTAGTGAAATGTCTGGTGGTTGATGAAATAGCTCTGAGTATATTTTATAGCAAATCTCAGCTGTCATTAAATTGAAAGATGGGCTTTAAAAATAACTTCAGCGTTAAACTTTTAATGTCTCTTTAAGCTAGCTCTGAAATCCGAAATGAGTTATTTTAGATGAATTCCTGCAAAGATTAATATGTTTTTGTAATTTACCAAATACTCTTTTTCAGACTGAGACTGTATAAAAATATATTCAGTATATGTATGAAGAGTTCAAGGGATAGTATTTTGACACCTTATGTTACTGGGAAAAATTTGTGATTCTTATTTATTTATTTTTTAGCATCATGAAGCAAACAGCAGTGGAGTCAGGTTTAGAGTCTGCCAGCTCATAAACAAACTTTTGGGAAGTATGCCAGAAAATGCCCTGATTGATGATGATTTGTTTGATAAAATTAATGAAGCCATGCTTATCAGATTAAAAGATAAGATTCCAAATGTGAGAATACAGGCTGTTCTGGCTCTTTCACGGCTTCAGGATCCCAAAGATGATGAATGTCCAGTGGTTAATGGTATGTATAGTTTCCTAAATCTCTTCAATTTTGTTGATTTTGTTAACTTCTCAGTAGTTGAATTTTTTTTTTTTTCCGGTACCGGGAATTGAACTCAGGATCTTGCACTTGCCAGGCAGGCGCTGTGCCGCTGAACTAAATCCCCAGCCCCCTGAATTTTTTATTATGAACTATATATTATTGAGTATAATTCCCATGTAGCAATCATGCAACTTAAAAAATAGTTCATTATCACTCCACCTTGCATCTCATCCTGTTGTATTCCTCCCCCTTATAGGTGACTATTATCTTGAATTTGGAATTAATTATTCTCTTGTTTATTAGGGTTTTATTTACTATTTTATTATTTCTAATGTTAGGGGACCCTCTAGTTGTTTCCAGTTACTTTGCTATTGAAAATTGTGTTATTATGAATTTTCTTAATATGTGGTTATGCTATTGGATAATGTATTTATTTAAAAAGTTTATCGGTGGTTATTATTATCAAGTGTTTGGTACTGTGCATAATTGTGTGTGTTGTGCTTTTTATCAACTGGCAAGTGCTTTAAGTTTACCTAGATCAGCAGCCCCACAAATATGAGTAATGCATTGCTATTCGATGTTACCACAGCTGTCACTACACAATAGTCTTTCAGCTCCATTGTGATCTTATGGGACCACTGTTATACACATGCATGATTATTTCTGTATGATGCCTGTTACTGTGTTTTGGCCATTTTCTCATTAAGTTTTTGTTTGAAAATAAAATTTAATTGATTTTTTTGAGTTTCTGTATATTCTGAAAAATCCTTGGGTATTATGAATTATAGGTTTCTTCCAGCTTTAGATGTCTCATTGCTTCACCCTCTTTGGGTGTCTTTTGTTGAACAGAAATTCTAATGTCGGGTTATTAATAGATGATTTGTGATTGCAGTTTTAAATCACTTAATTTACCTTGGGTAAAAAAGATAGTCATACTTTTCCATGTACACTAGGTGTATTTTTGATATTCTTATGTCTTACTCTTTTTCCTGTGTTACCAGTTTTGTAATCAATTTTGGTGGCTTATAACAGTTGATATTTTGGGGTATTAAGTGATAATAATGTATGTGTTTAATAGTGAGCGCATACTTGATAAGACTGGGCAAGGTGTGACTAAGTACAGGCGAGTGAGTGTATTTAAATACATGAAGTGGGTATAAAATGCTTAATACAGTAAACTTTCTCTGACTTTGAGGGTTGTTTTGTGTTAGCCCTCACACCCAGTCTGTTTACTAATTTCTCATTATGTTCTTAGGGAGGAAGTTGGTGAAAATATTTTTCAACTAAAGAGTAAAAGTACGAGAGTAAAACATGATACCTTTATCACTTTAAAATATCTAAATGTGGACTGTTTTAACCTTTAACAATTTCTTCAGTACTAAAAGATACTACTCTATTTTTAGCATATGCTACTTTGATTGAAAATGATTCAAATCCAGAAGTTAGGCGGGCAGTGTTATCATACATTGCACCGTCAGCAAAGACTTTACCAAAAATTGTAGGGCGCACCAAGGATGTGAAAGAGACTGTCAGAAAGCTGGCTTATCAGGTAAGTAAGTCTAATAACTTGTATAAGCATATTCTTAAAAGATAAACCATTTTCTTAAGGTATTTTTGAAAAATACTCAGGACATAGTAATGACTGCTCCACTTAAGATTACCATGGAGAGTATAGGTAATTTAAGTAAAACCTTATTTTTAAGTGTATTGACAGATACTTATTTTTTTCTAGAGAAGCCAATTTTATTTTATTTTAAAAAATTTTTAAAATTAGTTTTATTGGTATATTTTAGATATACATAACGATCATATCATAAGGAATTTGTACCGGTATATGATATATCTTGATTCTTTTGTCCCATTCCCCTTCCCTCCCTTCAATCCCTCTTTCCCTGGTTATTTACAAAAGCTCTGTTTCCATTTTTTTCCTTCTATTTTTTTTCTTTTCCTTTCCTTTTCCCCTGTCTCCTCCTTCGTTCTGCTTCCCATCTGAACATTTTCTATTTCCCAATATCTATTATACATTTTTTTTGAGACAGGGTCACACTATGTACTTGAGGCTTGCCTTGAACTCACTTTGTAGCCCAGGCTGGTCTCAACCTTGTGGTGATCCTCCTACCTCAGCCTCCCAAGTGCGGGGATTACATCATGGCAGGTGTGCGCCACCATGCCTGGCCTCTATTTTACCTTTTGGTCTTTATTTATTCTTTTGATTGCTCACAATAGAGAAGTAGTGTGATATTTAAATATGTGTGTCTGATTTATTTCACTGAAGAGAATGGTCTCAGGTGCATCCATTTGCCTAAAAATGTCGCGTTTATTTATTGTAGAGTAGTACTTCATTGTATTAAAAAAAAAAACCCATACTTCTTTATCCATTCATCAGTTGATGGACATTTGGGCTGTTTCCAAGATTTTTTTTTTTTTTTTTGTTGTTGTTTATTTTGGTTTTTCTCCGGTACCGGGAACCAAACTCACGACCTTGCGCTTGCCAGGCAGGCGCTTTTGCCGCTGAGCTAAATCCCCAGCCCCTTGTTTCCAAGATTTAACTATTACAAACTGTGCTGCTATAAACATGGGTTTGTGTATACCAATGTGACGTGATGCTGTTAATTTTTCATGAAGATACCAAGAAGGGGAACACCTGGGTCAAATGGAACCTCTTGTTTTAATTTTTTAAGGAGTCTCCACACTGAGTTCCACAGTGGTTGCACCAATCTACACTCCTACTAACAATGGAGATGGGTTCCTTTATCTCCACAGCTCCTCCAGCATTTGTTATTGGTTGATTTCTTAATAATAGCCATTCTTTCTGGAGTGAGGTGGAATCTCAGTGTTGTTTTAGTTTGCATCTCTTGAATGACCAGTGATGTTGAACATTTTTTCATAGATTTGCTGTTTATACTTCTTCATCTAAGAAGTGTCTATTCACTTTGGATGTCCATTTTTTGGATTGGGTCTTTAAGTTTAGGGGGGATCTGATTTTTTTAACTTCCTTATATATTCTAGATATTAATCCTTTGACATACTAATTTATTTAGAGATTCTGGTTAATTTTCTAAGATAAGTGCTATGTTATTAGATAAATCAATAAGTTGTGTTGAATCTGATGGCAGTGTTTTTACTTTTTAAGATTTTAGCTGAAAAGGTTCATATGAGAGCTATGTCCATTGCTCAGAGAGTAACGCTTCTTCAACAAGGTCTTAATGACAGATCAGGTAAGATATATATCTTTATATACAAAGTGTAGTGGATTTTGAAGTTGTACTTAAGCCTGTCATTCCCATAGTTGGTGAAGCTCATCTTGATGTGTTATATAGAAAGCATTGCATTGAGGGTAAGGGTCTTGGTATTTTGAAGGAGGAGGAAGACTTCATTCTTTTACCTTCTTGTTTCACAGATGGAGAAACTATACTTAATCCTGTAGAGCTAATTCATGTTAGAAGTAATCATAAATACTAGTAGTCATGTTAGAAGTAAAATAGAATCTCTTCCTACCCTTTCTCTTCCTTTAAAAACAGCGCTGTCCTTTTTCTCTATAACTTGGCATGAATGGCTTGTGCACCAGACCGGTACTTTCTGCCTTGCATCTGTTAACTAGAGAATCTGCTTATAAGAATGACAGTTTTTCATTTTGAATTCCCATGGGAAGGCCAAGATGGTTTATTTTGCTATAATAAGAAAATCAACTTGATTTTAAAACATTGTCAGAGGACTAATGAGAAAGACCTTAAATCTAAGAATAACATTTGTTCAGTGATTATTATAATCTGTTATGAGTTATTATTGCAGATAGCAGTGGGATAGTAAATGAAGCCAGGCAATGCAATAATAGACATTATATGATCTGGGCTAAACCTGAACCTCATTGAGCCCAGGGGAGTGGGAATACAAAGATTTTGTGTGCTACTGTAGCGCTTGAGTATTTGGTGTGGAACCTTTTCCATTTATTTGGAAGTGAGCATCACTGTCACTTTTGCAAACTAATCACGTGATTGCTTTGAAACTTAGCAAATATGGTACTTGATGCATTTGAGGTGAAAATTGCCGCATCTGTGCGGCTCTTGATAGTCCCAGGAGGGGAGAGGATGGGAAAAGTAAAGATAAGAGACAAAAGCTGAGGTCAGGTGGAACCCTCTCCTCTCTGGATGGGAAGAAAGGAGCTGCTCAACCACTGTTGGGGCATTAATTTATACATTTGACAAAGTTAGTGTCATGCGACACATCTTTGCCTAGCAACTGATTACTTGGATTCTCTCAAGCCTGGTGTTCTCTGGTCTGAAACAACTTGATCACATGGCTTGCCTCTGGTGCTCTTTGTTCTCCCACCAGCCTTGCCTTGTCTCTCACACCTGTGATGAATTTCCAGCTTCAGCCGCTCCCTACAGAAAATTTTGTCCCAGTGCTTGTGTTTTGCTTGGTACTTGATGTACATGGGTTACCCCGTGACTTCCTACCCTTTCCAGCCATAATAGTTTGGCACTCATCCTTTTTGGTACTTGTGGTGCTCCTGGAACCAATAAACAATTAATAGACTACCAAAGTAGCATTAGGTGTGTTGTTCCTGTTTTTTGGTCTAGTATGCTTTGTTCAGCCTCTTAATCTCTATTGTGAATTTCAACTTTATGTTAATATTGATCTAAAAAAGTTAATTAAAACAGATAAAAGACTGGAAACAAAAGCTAACTGGGACATTTGTCTACCTATTTCAAATGACTCAACAGATGCTGTTAAACAAGCAATGCAGAAACATCTTCTTCAGGGCTGGTTACGTTTTACTGAAGGAAATATTTTGGAGTTGCTTCATCGATTGGATGTGGAAAATTCTTCTGAAGTGGCAGTCTCTGTTCTCAATGCCTTATTCTCAAAAACTCCTCTCAGTGAACTGGTGGGAGTCTGTAAAAGCAATGATGACAGGTACATAAGAGATTCATTATCTGAATTGTCCTACTGGTGAGCTTCTGCATTTAAAGTTAGTTTTTTTCCCTGATGGAAGGAACGGCATGAGGCAGAGACCAGTTGAGACCACCAGGCTTGTGTAAAGGCAACAAGGTGTGGAATTTTTGTGCAGGCAAACAAAAGACCATCTGTATGGAACAAAGAAAAGCAGACTTTTTTTTTGTTGGGCTTAATAGAAGGCAAGGGACATTAGGCAGGAAGATCTTCGTAAACGTAAGTGGTCAAAGTTCTCCAGATGTCTTGTGCCTCAGTGTGCAAAGTCCTTGAGGCATCCAGCAGAAATGTTTGAGTCTCTTCAGAAGTCCAGGTGTTTGGAAGATTCCATCCTCTGTGTTAAGTCTTTTGCAATATCCTGTGTTTGCTGAGGGTGCTGGTGTTGAGCTGAGAACGATGCCTCTGCTGGCAGAAAGTTTGGGTGTTAGGAGGGTCATGTTGAAATCGAGCCTGACACCCAGTACTTCATATCATAACAGTATCTTGTGTCTGCTCCTCTTTTGTTTACTCTGATTTTTTCCTGGTTCTGCTCTTCCCCTGTAAGAACTCATTACTTTATTTCAGCTAACTTTAGCTGTTTCTTTCTCTCTGATAAACTTTGATTTCTGCATTGGCCCACCATGAAAGAAACTGTAAAACCACGTATCTCTAATGTATGTTTGCTCATTTGACTTGTTCCCTTTTTCTTTTTAAAATTTTCTTTTTAAATTTTATTTCTCATTTATTTATTTTTTGTCTTTTTGAGACAGGGTCTTGCTATGCAGTTCAGGCTGGCCTTGAGCTCACTTTGTAGCCCAGGCTGGTCTCGAACTTGCAACCATCTTCCTGCCTCAGCCTCCTGAGTGCTGGGATTACAGGCATGCACTACCATGCCCGGCTTAAATTTCATTTTTTAAACATTTTTTTTCCTTCTTTTTGGTCTAGATTTTTTCTGTTCCTTTTTGTGTGGATAATGTAATTAATTAGTAATTGAAAGAGTAGTGGTGTAAATCAGTTCTTCTCATTTTAATAGTTTTTTTCAGTTTTTAAGCAGGATATAAATGTTTCCCTAATTCTTTCTTTTAAATGAAGGAAATTAATTCCAGTGGAAACATTAACTCCTGAAATGGCTTTGTATTGGCGTACTCTTTGTGAATATTTGAAGTCAAGAGGAGATGAAGGTGAAGAATATTTAGAGCAGATTTTGCCAGAGCCTGTGATATATGCAGAATATTTACTGAGGTAACTTTTTTTTTGCTTTGGACTGTGCTTGTGTTGTCGTATGTGTCATTCTCTCAGCAGCCTCCATCAAAGTCATGCTTGATTGGTAAACCCTTTTTCTTTTTAACATGTGGAGATAAATGGGTATGTGCATTGTTTCTGAGGGATATCCTGTACTGGTCAGTACACTGAAGAAAGCAAAGTCAGTATGTGTAGGGGTGTTTCTTCAAAACTGTGAGGACATGATTTTGAACGTTTCTCCATAGATAATGATGATGTGTTACTTTTTGTAATTGGCAAGTAAACTTTTTCTATGTTAGAGCATAATTATGAACTATGGACCCCATTAAAAGATAATACAAATTTGTGAAATTGGCCACATGTTTTTTTCATTTTTTAGGAGGAAATGTAATTATGGACTACTGGTATAATTATTATTATTATTACTAGTGTTTTAAACAAAATCAGGGGTTATGAGCAAAGACTAGATTTTCATGACTAATTGAATACTTGGACACAAAATTTAGAACTTTACAATTGGGAGAATGTAAGTGGTATTGAAATTAGTTGTGAGTTGGAGAGACATAGATAATGCACCTTTTGAAAATTTTCAGTAGAAATCAGAATCAATGGAAACACATTTTCTAAATTCTTCTGATTTGTCATCAAGTTTGTTTATAAAAGTTTATTACAATAGGATAGAATTTACAGGCATTTATTACATGGTGTAAACATTATGTATTTGGACTAATATGAACTGGAAAAGATTCTTTGCTGATCTAAAGTACGGAATGAAGTCCTGCTTGTGGGTTCTGAATTGACTCTGCTTTACTGCTTTTGCTTGTTTTAGTTTCATACAGAGCATTCCAGTAGTTAATGAAGAACAGAGATGTGATTTTTCCTACCTTGGAAATTTGATGACAAAAGAATTCATAGGTCAGCAGCTGATTTTAATTATCAAGTCCTTGGATACCAGTGAAGAAGGAGGAAGGTATGTCTAAATATTAATCTTTAATTTATTCTTCTAATTTCTTTCCTGTATTTAAATATAGTCTTGTTACAATATGATTGGGTAAATTTACCCTAGCGCTCTAACGTATTGTGAAGTTTTTCTTTTTTAACGTGTGTGTGTGTGTGTGTGTGTGTGTGTGTGTGTGCATGAATATATAATCAAGTATCACTTAGCAACAGGACCTGTTCTGAGAGTCCTGTTAGGAAATTGTGTCAGTGTTCAAACATCATCGCACTGTATACTTACACATATCTGGATGACGGCCAGGTGTTTGTTGTGGTTCCTTGGCGCAGGGAAGAGACTTGATGCACACAAGCTGCCTGAGGCTATGGCCAGTGTAACATGGCGTACTGTTTTGCAATAAACATTTCTTTCAGTTAGCTAGAGGTATGTTGTAATGACAAAAGTATAGTATTGCAAATACATAAGCCACTAGCATTGCCATTTGTTATTATCAAATATTATGTACTGTACGTAGCTATATGTTATACTTTGATTTGAGTGACATTACAGTAGGTTTGTTTACACAGTGTCAACAGAAAGTAATGTGTTGAGCTACCTTACTATGGAAACTATATCATTAGGGATTAAGTATTTTTAGCTCTCTAATAATCTTACAGGGTTACCATCATAAATATCTTTAATTGACTGAAATATTATATGGCACTTGATGGTAATATGTATTGTATGTCTCATCTTAGTTTACTTCTTTCACCATAAATCAGTAAAATATCAAGTTTTCAGTTAAAAATCTTTCTGTATGTCAGAGAGCTTTAATAAGACTATTACCTAAAAGGTTTGATTCATCTCTGATATTTTGTTATTTTATCATGTTGATTTACTGAAGACCATAGGATGGTTCATAAATTTTTTTTTAGTATGAATTTTTTACATAGTCTATACTTAGATTTTTGTACCTGTAATGCTGAACATAAAACCCTGAGACAAATGTAAGTCTTCAGAGTAAGTGAAATATCAGGAATATAATGTGTTCTGTCAAATGATACTTAAATTGAAATGATCTTTTTGACTGTAGGAAACGACTGCTGGCTATTTTGCAGGACATTCTTACTCTCCCTACAACCCCCGTATCCCTAGTTTCATTTCTTGTTGAGCGGCTTCTTCATATTATTACAGATGATAACAAGAGAACACAAATTGTAAGTACTTTTCCTTGTTGCTGATAAAGAGATTTTGGTTAATGACATTGAAGATCATATTACTGTCTCTTTAAAACTTTTTGATTTGTCTTAATTTTGTCTACCATTTTAAAGTTTTTAAAGCAAGCGTCCTTGTCTTCTGTCTCTGACTTGCAGTCGGACACACACTCTCTCATACACTTACACATTGTAAAAATACCTCCCTCCTAGAGTGCCCTCTGTTGTGTTGAATCACTTTCAGTGAAGCAAGTTTGGGAGGAGGTGAGAAATAGAATGAGGTTTTACCCACAAGGCACTGGGCACTAGAGTACTAAAGTTGGGTAAGTCCACATATTTGGAAAAAAAAAAAAGCCCACGTATTTGGGTTTGAAATCCTCTTGATACTTTTTGACTTCATGACTTTATACAAGTTATGTAGTTTTTAATTATCTGTAAAATAAGAGTGAAACCTACTTTTAATGTTCAGTGAGGTAATATTGTTCATAAGGTGCTAGGTAAATACAGGAATAAAGTTTTATTTATTATAATACTGTTTCCAGCAGTGTTATTTTATTTTATTTTTTTTTCTGAGTTAGCCAAAAGAGGCAGATTTGAATTCTCATAAATTTATGTTGTTTGAATTGCAGGTTAATTCAGAAGTCATCTCTTCCAACTCTTACACATATATCTGTTCTACACAATCCCAGTTTGTGATTTTCCAGCATCTGCTTGTGTGTTTTAGCCTGTAATGCAGCCTTTTCCTGAATCAGCCACCTCATGTTTAAATGGCTCTGAAAGGAAAACCATTCTTTATGCTGTCATTCCGCCTTGTGTACCCAGAGAAGAGCAGAGGAATATTCTGGTTCCCTACATTTAATTTTCATGAAGCTGAACAAGGGAGGAGTTGAGAATTTTAGGCAAAGACTTTTAGTTTATAATATCTAATCTTAATCATGCATTTTTCTATTTTTAAATACTATATATGAGAGATAATTTATCTTTAATATCTGTGTGCCTGTTTCCCTTCAGATAATTTTAGTTTTTGATCATGTGTGATATCCATTGTTTTTTACTAAAATTATCAAGCAAATAAAATGTGTTTTAATTTAGCCTATATATTTTGCTCTGTTTTTCAATATATAGTACATTCTGCTTGGAGTTTTATGTAGCAGTTTGGAGTTATTTTCTAATATAGGATATTAAAACTTGTACTCTGAATTACGATTTACCAGGTTACAGAAATTATCTCAGAGATTCGGGCCCCCATTGTTACCATTGATGTTAATAATGACCCGTCTGTTGTAAGAAAGAAAGAACTCAAGGTATGCCTTTTCTAAATTAAATTCTTGAGGAATGTAGTAGTGCAAGTCTATTTCTTCTTGATATACAGTTTTCAAATTTCCTCATAAAGTCAATTTATTGATTGAACATTAACTATGAGAGTATTTCAAGTGTTACCAGATTATGTCAGTGTGCAAGATTTGCTGATACTTGTTCTAGGAAAATTACAACTTCATATATACCTGATTGCTTAAGTTCTAAGTCATTAAATTTAATAATCCTCTTGAGTTTGTTACAGGTTTTCATATTAACATTTTTTTGTTTAGCATTGAGATGATCAATTTATATCTTTTCTTAGATAGCTGAAATAAAAGTTAAACTTATTGAAGCAAAAGAAGCTTTGGAAAATTGCATTACTTTACAAGATTTTAATCAGGCATCAAAGTTAAAAGAAGAAATAAAAGCACTAGAGGATGCCAAAATAAATCTGTTGAAAGAGACAGAGCAACCTGAAATTAAAGAAGTTCACATAGAGAAGGTACAATTTTTTCATGCTAAATCTCTTTAACCCATACAGCTTTCTGAATATAGTATATTTACTTTGGAAGGAGTTTTTATAACTTGAATTAAAATGGAAAGAATATTTTTTTCTCCTGGTTCTTTCCATTTGTTTGAATTTGGAAGGCCTTAATTAGCATTAATTATTGTAGCTAGATATTATTTGTTCCCTTGTTATGGTATTTCCTGGAATTAGAAGTCTTTCTCCCTTCCCAGGGAAACTAATCTAGGCATTTACTTCTGTATTTTATTTGTTTCCTTTTGCTTTTGTGTACTTGGGTGTTCTACCACTGAACTATACATCCCCAGCTCTTATTTGGTACCGGAAATTGAACTCAGGACCTCATACTTGCCAGGCCCCAGCTCTTTTTTATTTTTAATTTTGATTTTGATTTTGAAACATGGTCTCACTTAGTTTTCTAGGCAAGGCTTGAGTTTATAATCCTCCTGCCATAGCCTCCTGTGTAGCTGGGATTACAGGCACATTCTGTTGTGCTTAGCCATATGTGTGTTTTGTAGAGTTTAGTTATTAGTGTTTTTAATTAGCTTAGGAGATTTGTTATTTCTAGTGAAATAATGTCTAGCAACATTTAAAGCTTTTGGCAGTCTTTTTGTTAAAAACTCAGTTGTTTGATAAATATCTTCTAAGTGGACTCTTCTGACTTATTTTAACATAAAGTAGAATGATTTCAATATATTTGATACTAACTTCAGTTCAGGTTTTTTAGGATCTTGCCTTTGTAGTGAACATTATTTATTATTTTACTTTTGGTTTGGGGAATGCTGATTAGACTGTTCTCATAAGGAGAATGCTGAACAGGAAAGTTTACTGTACAAGAAGGTTTAGTAAGCTGTATCCTTGACCTCTTTGGCGATAGGTGTCTTAACACTTCACCTTCCCGATGAGAATGATTGAATTTATTTTCATAGGTAGTAGCTTAATTTTCTTTTTCTTTGCACAATGTCTGGATTATTATGGACCTTTAAATTTGGGGTACAAATTCATAGCATCAACTGAAAATGTAATCTGTAAAATGACAAACTGGAGGTTTGGAAAACTGGAAGTCAGGAAAATATCAGCAAATGGGGATTCTCTTAGTAATAGTTGCTTAACTTGACTTGCTTTGATCATTTATGTGTCTGTTTGTTGTATTTGAAGCCTGTAACTATTGCAGTGCAATTACAGCAGAGCATAATGGATACTGTGACTAGAGAAATACAGAGGTTTTATGGCAGAGTATCTAATCCAGGCAGAGTGTTGTTTGAACATGAGAGTTAAATAAAAATAATAATGTACACTAACAGTTTAAGGATGTTTCTTCCTGTGTTAGTCACTCCTTCAAGCACTTATAAATGTGGATTAATTTGATTGTCACTGTAACTCTATGAGGTAAGCACTTTATAGTATTTATGTTATTTGTCCAAAGTATAATGATACTAAATGGTAGAGTTAGGATTCAAACTTAAGTAGCAGCTCTAGATTGGTGGCTGTAATACACTCTTTGTTATTGTTCCTTAATGAATTATTTGTGGAAATGTTGTAGACAAATGGAATGGCATGTATGATGGCGTAAGAGTTAAAGAGTTCATGTTGCATTTTAAAATTAGTGAAAGAGTTCATGTTGTGTTTTAAAATTCTCGGTTATATGATCAGTGAATTGAGTGGGAAAGGTAAGAGGTAAATTTGGGGACAAATTGAGAGCCATGTTCCCTAAAGGTAATATAAGCACTATTAAAGCATTTGTGCCTTAAGGTTCACAGTGAACCACTAATATTTAAAATCTTCACAAAGTCAGTATTGTTCAGGAAGTGGATTGGGACCTAGACAGGCATCATAATTGGGAGACTATTAGTAGCAAAGTAGGCTCAGATTGTGCCATTGTGAGTAAGATGGCGGTAGAAAAGGAAGCTGCAGAAAGAACTACCATTTGCAAAGCATTTAGGAGCCTGTAACAGGGCAAAGACAGAGTCAAGAATATATTGTACATTTCAGACGGCTGCATAGATGGTGATACATTAAGAAGATAGTACAAGAAGAAGAGAGGTTTGGGTAACAGTGAGTTTAGATCCCTTTGGACATGATGAGTTTGAGGAGCTTGTGGAACCTCCAAGAGGAAATGTCTTATAGAAGTTGTATGTATGAGTTGGAAATGTAGAAAGTAGCAGGGCTAGCATTTATGTGATAAATGGTGGTGTATGACTAGGTAAGGTCTGCCCTAGACAAAGCCCTCAGAAAGCAAACATGAGGAGATTGGCAGAAAATACTCTTCCCAGTGTTAACTTTTGTTTTTCCCTTTAGAATGATGCTGAAACACTGCAGAAGTGTCTTATCTTGTGCTATGAACTGTTGAAGGAGATGTCCATTTCAACTGGTATAGGTGCGACTATGAATGGGATCATTGAATCTTTGGTATGTTGGTAGCCTTTGAAGCTTTATTGTAGTCCACCTCCTCCCCTCAGTTTGAAAGTAATATGTTCGCTAGGGTTCAAAAGAGTGAAAGACTACTTTTTTAAACATCTGAAAATGCAAATGATAAAAAGTAAAATACAGTGGCTGTTTCATATCATGAGGATTAAATAAGCTAATGCACCTAAAGGACCTGGTACTTAAAGTATAATTTTTTTTTTTTGGTATGTGATCCAGGCTAGCCTTGAACTCACAGGGATCTGCCTGCCTTAGCTTCTAGAATGCTGGGATTACAGGTGTGTACCGCAACACCTGGCTCTCATTGTCTAAAAGGTTCAGACAGTTACTTCACACTACAAAGAGATCAGAATATTTTGATTCTTTGGGGAGTAAGAAGAGATGCTGAAAAATACCACTATTTTAAGTAGTGGAATCTTGCTGTGTAGAAGGACTAGAAGAAGGTTATATTGTGATCTCAGAAAGGAGTTTATTGTCCCCTTCACTTCCTCTGGTCTGGGACCTATCTTCATTCCCTTGCCCTTGAACATCAGGAAATCAGGCCCCTTCCGCCATTGATACTTGGTGTGAAGAAGGGTTGTATAGTCATAGGTGAATTTATAATGGCAGGATATCACCTGTTAATGGAGGGTGACTCTGATCTGATATTTGAGTAGATATTTACTATATGAAAAAGGGAAGCATGTCTAATACTAGCTATATGTGGCCATTAAACATTAAGTTGAGGCAACCCATTTGGGACCCCTCCTGTCTCTCAGGAGCTGTCCTATTCAGCATTCCTATTCCCTATTCCAATTCCCCAATCAATTTTCAAAAAAAAAAAACCACTAAGTTGAGCTGTGCTACAACGATAGAAGACTGGCTTTTAAAGACTTACTACAGATAGTAGAATGTAAGTTATTTCCTGTGAAGTGTTTCATAACGACTACTTGTTACAGTGATCATATTTTGATTGTGTCGGACTCAATAAAATATCAATAAACAAAAATATAAAATTGCTTTCAACTCTTTTTAAGGTGGCTGCTAGAATGATTAAAATGGTGTGTGGTCCCCATTTGTGGCTTCCAGTCTTTTAGTTGGACAGTGCTGAAAGGGAGGCATCAAAACCAAAAATTAGGAAAAGGAGTAGTGTAGTGTGAGATGAGAAGGGGGAATACTATACAGTGAGCACTACTATATGACGTAGCAAGGAGTTCATCTTCTGTGAGCTTTGGGAGTCCACTGAGTTATTTTAACAGGTATGAGGGGGCATCTTATGATTGACTACATGTCAGGAAAATCACTGGCTATTACCTGTTTTAGAAATTTAATATTTACTTTTCTCTTAAATGAAAATTATTTCTTTGAATTACTGGGCAATATGGAAATGAAGTAGATTTATAAAATCTTGTAGAAGTTAGCATTTTGACTATGACTTTAACATACTCTGCTGAATTTCTTGCCCTATTGCAAATTATTTTAATATCTAATTACTTTAGGTTCTTCCCGGAATAGTAAGTGTCCATCCTGTAATAAGAAATCTGGCTGTGTTATGCTTGGGATGCTGTGGACTACAGAGTCAGGATTTTGCAAGTAAACACTTCGTGTTACTGTTGCAGGTAGGGTTTATTTCCTGGCAAAATCTCAATTACATTTCCTGAAATACTCTGTATCTGTGGAGAGAGTGCTAAGAATTTATTCTGAGGCTTAATGATTGTCATGTTTAGGTACTAAAATTTTCTTTTTCTCGTCAAGACATTTTTTGAGAAATAACGAAATGTCAATTTAACATATTTATGTAACACATATTTATGTATCTTACATGCCTGCACTGTTCTAGGCTTAGAGAATATATGACAGGTGGTGGAAAAAAACAAGAAGGTAAAAATTGTGCTAAACTGGTTTAGGGGAGTGGAAAAAAAGAAGGATGGGAAAAGCAAAAGGAAAAAATATACATATACAACAGATAGTTAAAATAGTTACACTACTAATTTCTCTCAGTTCATTGATAAGGTAGGTTTGTACTAATATTGTTTGGGCAATTAAATGCTGATATCTTGTACTCTGAGTAACTGAAGGTAACAATGTGCAATGTATTAACCTTTGTTACCCTCCTATAGTAATGTTCTGGAATTTTGATTTTTTTCTTTTTGTTCTGTGTTTCTTTTTCTTTAAAGTTGTGCTAATTGAACTTATATTCTTGTGGGGGAAACACAAGTAGGCAATATCTCAGATGAAGGAAAGTAAAGCAGAGGAGTAAGGACTGAGCAGAGGCGGTAGCGACTGTTTAACTGAGGAAGGCCTCAGTTTTCATTTGACACCGGGGCCCATAGCACAGAGAAGTGAAAAGTGAAGCAAGGGGAGTTTTGAGCGGTAGAACTTTACTTGGCATGTTTAAGAAGCAAAGGTAGACTGCACAACAGAGAGTAATAATAGGAGAAAGAGCTTGCAGGATGTCCTTCTCGTCTAGCAACTTAAAGACTATAAAGGCGTCAGCTTCCACCGTGATCGAGATGGGAAGAAATTTGTTGTGATCTGAATAGGTATAGTGTTAATATATGCCAAGGAAGGGTTGTAAGCCTCCCCTATAAAAGATCAGAAAATAGTTATTTTGCATTTTGCAGACCATATGACTTATTTCAGCCAGTCAGCTATTTTGTTGTAGTGTGAAAACAGCCATAGATTGTGCATAAGTGATTTGAATTTCATATGATTTCCACATATAATGAAATTTTTAACCATTGGAAAATATGTGTAAAAGTAGATGATCAACTGGATTTGACCCTTGTGTCATAGTTTGCAGATCCTGAGTATAAAGTATAGAAGAACAAATACAGAAGCAGGGAGGCTAATGAGGGTATTCTGTAATCCAGGAAAGAGGATGACGGTTGGATTGAGGCTGTGGTTATTGGGAACGGCAGAAGGGTGGTATATTTAGGCAGGATTCTCTAGAAACCTAGAACCAATGGCAAATGTATGTGTGCACACAAGCACACATCTGGTGTGATCAGAAATTACAGTGAACATTTGAATAAAAATATATACTACAGTGAAAGACACTGCCATTAATTCCTCTTAAAATACTCTTGCACACTTTGAATGCACCTATCACATCATTCTTGCTGCTTTCTGAAGCAGTTTTGATAGTCTTCATTCACAAGTATCTTTTCAGGGCCAACTTGATGTCCTGAATTGATTCAAAATAGTTACAGCCATTTTTGTTAAATAAAAACATTATGGTTTGTCCTCATGTAGTTATTTAGAGTCTGGTATCGTGAGACTTCAGGCTCTTCCCCAAAGTCATAGTGACCACGAAAGGTCAATGAAGGTCATTCTGAATCAGTTCAGGACATCAAGGCAGCCATGACAACACAGACAGGTTCACGGCAAGAGGATTCTAGAACTGGTCCTAAAAGTGGGAAGAATGAGGGGGTAGTGTGTTCGGAATGAAGGGGAGTACTCTGAGGGAGATTAATGTCAGTGTGTCTATACACATACATACAAGCGTCTTACATAGGTGCTTTTACACCTACGCATACACATGCCCTCATACACATGGAGGGAGGATTTATTGGAGGAATTGGCTCACACGATTATAGAGGCTGCAAATCCCCATGAAAGGCCACCTGTAAGCTGGAGACCTTGCATGCTGGTAGGGAGGCTTGTGCTCAAGTCTTAAGGCCTGAGGACCAGGGAAGCAAAACACTGGTGGGGCAGTTGGTGTAATACGACTTGGAATTCAAAGGTTGATGAAATAGTTCAGTGTTAGATATGGTAAGTTTGCAGTTTGAGATACAAGTGAATGTAGTGTAGTCTTCATTTATATGTGAGATTGGAGAATAAGGGAGCCAGGGTGGCAAAACGAGTCTGGAAGGCCGTGCTACTGGTAGTGTCTGGTAATGTCCCGTGCTCAGAGACCACATGCAGCATGGGTTGAGAAGAGCCGCTAACTTTGTGGTGCCTTAGGGCTCAGGCAGCATTTAGAGGTAGGGGAGATGAAGAGGAGCTGGTGGAGACTAAGGTGAAGTAGAAAGTAGAGGGAGAGAGTAAAGTCTTAGAAGTAAAGGTAATATTTTCATGAGGAGAGGCCCAGTGTCCAGTGCTGCTGACAGCTAGATCAGGATTCATAGTTGATCTTCTCTGACAAATAAGGAAGGATTTGGTGACCTTGTTGCATGAAAGTAGTTATGTGGAAGGCGAAATCTGATTGGAGTGGGCTGAACAGGGAATGATGGGAGAGGAATTAGAGACGGCCAGTACGGATTACTGTTTTGAGATGTTTTTGTTTTTCTTTTCTTTTTCCCTGTTAGTACTAGAATAGTGTGGTAGAAAGAGAAGTGTTTAGGGTAAAAAGAGATTTATGGGTTTTAGTGTTTTTAAAATGAAGATAATATAGCATATTTGTATATTGAGAATAACCCAACTGAGTGGACAAAATGATAGAGGATGAAAGGTAGTTGCTGCAGTGATATTCTTCAGTAGGAAAGGTGGAACTTACAGAGATTAGAGGTGAGCAATTAGGTAAACTTTTAAGTTCCTATAGCAAAGAAGATGGCGTAGAACTGCTCAGGGGATATTTAAATTCACTTGACCTTTAAAGTGGAAACATTGAATTGTGATCCTTCAAGCTTTGCTGGTGTCACATCAGTAATAAGTGTGTTGGTCATTTCAGACAGAAGAAATGCAATTGGAGTGTACTCTGAGAGAGGTCCCTGGAGGATGCCGGAGTTACTCAGTGCAAACTCCCTCCCTTAACACAATGACCTCTCGCAGTCTTGATACTGTTTGTTTCTGTTTAGTTTCCTCTGGTGATCATCAAGCTGATGTCAAAGTTCTTATCCAGATCATTGCACAACTTTGTTTTTTAAAAATCAAACTAGTCAATAATAAACTTATAAAATTTTAACATTTTTAAAGAATTAAAGTATACTTTGTGTTTAAGCCACTTTTGTCGCTAAATTGTTTTATTTATTTTTTCTAAACTGTTTTAAACTTGCATGCTACATAAAAATAGATGGTGTGTTGAATTTGACTATTAATGTTTAAAAACTTTTTTTATAAATTAAAAATATTTGTGAGATGTGCCAGATTCAAATGTAGGAAAAAGCAGTATGTGAAATTTGCTGACATTTTATATATTCTTTTGGATTGTAAATTTTATTTTTATTTGGCCCCTCAAAGGGGTCCATGGTCAAAAGAAGTTAACCACTGAAGAGATTAAATGAGTTATCTTTATAAAAGTATTTTTAAAACTATTATTGGAAGATTTTAGATCTGAGAAAAGCTATCTTTTGGGGACAAAAAATTCTTTTTTGCTAAGTTTCATTATAAAAATTGATTTAAGATTTCTAAATACTTGTTAGGCAGAGGAAGTTATTTCATTCTAAAAATCTTATGAATCCAGTGTTGAGAGCTGTTGCTGCCCCGTAAGGGACGAAAGTAAGAGAAGAAAACCAGGTTGCTACAAAGGTAGTAACATATTTGGAATTTCTAGAGAGCACTCGTGATAACATACTGTAATAGACATTTGGCTTTGATTGATTCATTTGTTTTTATCAGAAAATACATAATGGGTATGCTCCTGAAGTTTCTTTTAAAGTTTTGAAAATTTCAAGTGTATTTTATTAATTTGACCAACTTACAATAGACGACTTTTATTTAGTTTTATAGGCCAGGTTATAAACCTAAGTTTTTTTTAGTAACTAAAATTTAGTTGCATTATACAATATAGTTAATTTTTCATAACGGAAATATTGAGCCTTATTTTTTTTTCATGACTTTGACATTTGGTGTCTGTTTGGTATGTAAGTCAAGATACATTTATACAAACTGCTGGATTGTGCGTTCACCTCTTTATTTCTTTTTTTTATAATTATGGTACTGGACATTGACTCTAGGGTCTTGCACATGTTATCAGGTGCTCTATTCCTGAGCTACATACTCAGTCCTCTTTATTTCTTTATTTTCAGCTAGGACTTTGCTAACTTGCCCAGGCTGGCCTTGAACTTGAACTTGTGGTCTCTGCTTCAGGCCTCCCGAGTAGCTGGGTTTACAGGCATGCATCACTGCATCTGCCTTGTTCTTCTTTCTAAAATGAAAGAAACAATTGCTATAATTTAGCCAGATTTTAATTCCATAATTTTTTATTGCAAAGGTTAACTTTTTCTTAAGGACTACAGTTCTAATTGTTACAGTACAAATATATATATCTTTAAAGTTGAACATTTAATTATACTTCTGAAATTGTACTTTTCTGTCAAGTTGACACTGTCATTGAAATTTGACTAAGGAAATAGAAGATATATATTAGTTTTATTCAGAATGAACAGAATTAAATTATTGTACTTAAATTCTTTTGGTTGGGAATGTCTCACTTAGGTTTTGCAAATTGATGATATCACAATTAAAATAAGTGCTTTAAAGGCAATCTTTGACCAGTTGATGACGTTTGGGATTGAACCATTTAAAGCTAAGAGAGTCCAGGCCCTGCCGTGTGAGGGTACAGAAACCAACAGTGATGACGAGCAAGAATCAAACGAAGTTGAAGAGACTGCGACTGCTAAGAGTGTTCTGAAACTTCTCTCTGACTTCTTAGATAGCGAGGTAAGAATCCCAGCCCTGATTATTAAGTGCCATTTGCAGCCTGTATTTGTGTTCTTTATATTTGATATTTTTTGAACTTGGATATATTTTAAGTTTTTTTTATATCTTAAGTCTTAACTTTCACTTCTAACATAGCTAATTTCTCACTATAAATTTGGTATGCAAAGAACAAATGGCTATTAGAAAGAGTTGTTACTTTTCCTCTTTTACGGTGTAAATGATGATTTGTGATTTAGAGACTTTAAATTTTTTACCTGAGTTTTAAGACATAGTTCAGAATAATTTTACATTGCGTTGGAAGGCATAAGGTAGGATGTGAGATTAGATACTTTTTCTCAGGCTATTCTTGAATTAAATTTTTTTAGCATATATGAACATTTAATTAACAAATTTTTATACCAATTGTGTTGCTTATTGAAGTTAAATTGATATAATTAAATTAATAATTTATAAGCGAATATTTGCCATTTAATCCTCTCACAGCGTAGTGCAGCTATTGTCTCTAATTTTGAAAGCTTTCCTTCTCTCAAAGAAACTCCTCACTCCAGCCCTTGGTAACAACCAGTCTGCATTTTGTCTCTGGCTCCTCCCTAATGACGAGTTGGATGTCTTTTCATCTGCCTGGCCATTTGTGTATCCTGTTGAAGAAATACCTGTTCAAGTCTTTTGCCTATTGTTAAATTTGGTTATTTTTATGGACTTCCTTATATATGAGTATGTATAATGGTCTCTAACAGCTTAGATAATGTGAAGATATTGTCTATATTTTACAGGATCTTCTCACTTTCTTCATAATGTCCTTTGTCGTGGTTACTTTTCTTGTTGAGACACAGTACCTGACATCCACAAGTTAAAGGAGAAAGTTTATTTTGAGAGCTTTTTTGGAGGTTCTAGCAGGAACACAGCTACTTCTATACCCTTGGTGGAAGACACAGTCCTTCTTTATCCGGGGTGCTCGTCCTCTTCTACCAAGTGCCTAGACAGCTTTGGGAAGGATGCAGTTGGAGTGCTGAGGGAGGAAGGGGACACCCGCTGAGCCAGTCAGATTAGCCAGATCCACCATGGTGACCCATGAGGTGACAGATGTCGCAGCCAGATCGCTCTCACATTCAGAAAGTTTATGTTGGTTCATGTTGTTAGTCATAGTTGGCCAGCCCCGAGGCAGAAAGGCATTATGGCTGAGCCTGGGTAGAGGAAAGCTGCTCACCTCGTGGCTGCCAGGAAGCAGAGAGCAAAGGGGTGGGGAAGGGAGACATCCCCTTCCAGGGTGCGCCCCGGTGACCTGGTGTCTTCTGTCGGACCCCGCCTCCTAGCAGCAAGTCAGCTGCTCCACGCCGTAATTCAGTCACCTGCCAGCAGCTCTGCCTGTGAGTGCACCATGCTTTGGAAGAACATCTAGATATAAACTATGATCTCCTGAGCGATCTAAAATTCTAAATTGTGATGAAAACTAATTTATGTATTTCCTTTGTTGTTTGTGCTTTTGATATATCAAGGATGCATTACCAAATCCAAGTCATCAAGATTTATCTCTGTGTTTTTTTGTCAAAGCTTAATGGTTTTTCTTTTTATGTTTAGGCTATTGGTGCATTTTGAGTAAATATTCACATACACGGTGTAAGACAGGGGTCCAGTTTCATTATTTTGCCTTGGACATTGGTCCCAGCACTTTTAGTTGAAAAGCCTGTTTTGGCATTCTTATTGAGAGTTATTTAGCTTTTATAAGTTTATTTTTTAATAATATTGTTAGGTTTTTCTTTCCATATTGATACGTCCCCTACTTTCTTACTGAAAGTGAGTAGTGAAGTTTTCCAGCTATTGTTGGAGAACTTCTGAAACTATTGTATAGTGTCTATAATTTATATTTTTTATGTATTTTTATCAGTAAATTATTGTCCTTGATATCATGTAAGCTTGACTGCAGAATGGCAGAAGTGATTTCTTATAAGTCATTTCCTAAAGTATAAATGGATTGAGTCTGCAATAGAATGCTAAGAGATAAAAACAAAATGAACGAAAAAACAAGTTTCAACTGTCTCCCAGAAACTCATTTTAGACCCAAATAAAAAAAGTGTTGAAAGTGAAAGGATGAACAAAGATATTCTAGGCAACTAGTATCCAAAAAGAGCTGGGTGACTACCTGGATATTAGACAAACATCCATGGTTTTGAGTTGTTATTTACCTGTAATCCTGACTTTCTGTCGGGGTTGTCCAGTGTCACAGTCTTCTTCATAATGCCAAGGGAGGAAACTCGTGAACGTTCAGATTACTTCATAGTAAGTGAATGATCTTTTTTTCATTAGTAACTAATGAGTTAAATTTCTTTCTGGCCAAAGTAGATTCTCTTTTATTAATTTTTACCATTTCTTAAACTAGACTTCTTTGCTGGGCACACCTGTAACCCCAGCACTGAGGAGACTGAGGCAGGAGGATCGCTGCGAGTTTGAGGCCAGCCTGGGCTACATATTGAGTTTAAGGCCAGCCTGAGTTACCCAGTGAGACCCTGTCTCAAAACAAAACAAAACAAAACCCCCTAGAAACTTCTAAACTTCTTTGATTCTCTTCTGGGCCTGTAATTCACGATTTTTCTCATGCTTTTACGACTTAAAGTCCTATCTGGATACAAATTCTTGTGCTTGAATGTCAAATGAGTGACTCTTGGTATCAGGAAGTATATCGTAGTTACAAATTTAAACTTGTGGATCTGTGTTCTGGTTACATTGGTTTGAATCTTTAATAAGGTGTTTACTATCTCTGGCCTGTTTCCTCATCTATAAAATGGGGGTCGTAGTGTCTGTTCCATCCGCACGTGTGAGGCCCGAGTATGCGGCAGCCATCACACGCTGTTTCGCGCTCTGGATATTAGCGTGCGGAAAGCACCAACCGGGGCTCCAGCGCTTCACAGTGCACTTATCTTCTGTATCTTTATAGTTTGAGTCTAGAAAAAGCTTTTGAACTAGCGCTTCCGTGTGTTCATAGAAGAGCTTCACATGTATCATTTTTTACTGTGTAAGTCATGTGATAAGTCCTTTCCTTACTCCCTTTCTGTATTTGAAAAACTTGAAGCACAGAAGTTCACAGAAGGGATCAGGCAGCTGGGATGTGCGAAGCGCTAGTGCTGAGTGTTACATTTAGATGAACGCGGTTTTGATTTTTGGGTTCCCAACATGTGTAAGGAAGCATTATAGTTCTAAAGTTTTCTTGGCGGGATTGATTTGCTCCAATTCATTAGTTTAGCCATGAAGAAAAATCTTTTCACATGCCTTTAACAAATTCATAAAGAGTGAGTTTTGGTTAGTTCATTTAAAAGTATTGTAGAACAGGCTACACTGTGAAGCTTAAAAGGAAAATACAGATGAAAAATTTCTTTTGGCGAATGTCTTCTTTATTAGGTGTCTGAACTCAGGACAGGAGCTGCAGAAGGACTAGCCAAGCTGATGTTCTCTGGGGTTTTGGTCAGTAGCAGGATTCTTTCTCGTCTGATTTTGCTATGGTACAATCCTGTGACCGAAGAGGATGTTCGACTTCGGCACTGCCTGGGCGTGTTCTTCCCCATGTTTGCTTATGCGAGCAGGTAAGCACTCATGGTGATACGACCTGAAGTTACATTCATTCATCCACCCCCCGCCTCCCCCGGGGGAATTGTATCTATGATGTCGTTTTCTTGGATACTCTATTTCTGAGTCAATAAATGATGACATGGGAAGAACTTACACAGATTTGATCTACCTAGATGAAAATTTAGTTCATCCTAGTGGGATGAATGCTATACATAATATTTTTTAATGTAGTACAATCACCATTGTTAATTCCCTACCGCTTTGTTTGTAACTCTGTATTGTCTGTATTGTGCTTGTGATATGTTGTAAAATGTTGTATGTCTGTTAATGTTTCCCTCCTTTTATCTTTAAAATAAAAAAAAAATAATATTTTTTAGACTTGTGCTTTTCTCTGTTTGATAATATTCTGCTGGCATACTTTCACATTGTTCTTCAATAGGACGAATCAAGAGTGCTTTGAAGAAGCCTTTCTTCCAACTCTACGAATATTAGCCAGTGCTCCTGCTTCGTCCCCTTTGGCTGAAGTGGACATCACAAATGTTGCAGAATTGCTTGTCGATCTAACAAGACCAAGCGGATTAAATCCTCAGGCCAAGAATTCCCAAGATTATCAGGTGGATGAGTATGTTAGCTTGTGGACAGACAGGGTAGTAACTGCATACAGATCACGTTGTTCTTTTGCAGAGTAATTCCTGTCATACATTGTTTGAAAGAGTGAGGAGCCGCCTTTTGGTCTCAAGACTTCTGTCTTTAGAGTGGTTTATAACACACAGTAAAAAAGAAGAAAAAGATCTTTGTGGAAATATAAACAAATCATTGAGATAGAAGTATTCACTTCTTACATTTTTGCTGAGAAGTTATTAAAAATTCATCACCTTGTCTATCCCCCTCCCCACCAGTGCTGGCTGTTAATCATTGTTATCAGGGACTGACTGAGTTTTCAAATGTTGGCTCACCTGTGATTTTGCCATTAAAAGAAGGAACAAATGAAAGGACAGAACTTGAATAAAGCATATTTTTAAGAAGAAAAGTCTGACCCACAAAATAAGCTGGGTTTGAAAAGCCCTTAATGATGTTTGGTGAAACTTCCTACCAGTTTTTAAATGTAATGGGTTATTAATGATTTCAGATGCTAATTGAAAGTTGAAAATACTGCTTTCTGATGCTTATTTGATATCTGGTAACTGTATACTCTCCACAGTATTACATGTGGTTGGGAAGGTACATTAGCAAAGACATGTGGCAGGGTATGGTGAAGGTCATTACAGCTACCAAGCACTTTAGGTCTTTGGAGAAGGGCTAGACTGGTGATACAGTAAAAAGTAGAGGATTAATAATTTTAAAACTCACTGTAAAATTCACTTGGACCTGGTTGAGCTTTAAGAAATGGTTTGGGTAGAAAGAAAAGTAGTAATTGTAGATGGTTATGCAAATCATGTTTTAAAGGGTAAGGTAGGGAATTTGGACTTAGCCTTATTACAGTGAATAACTGAGCGTAGGATGAAAGCTACTTATTAGGAAGATGATTTAGTGGTCCGTGATGATATGATTTGAATTGATGAAAAAAAGAAAATATTAATAAAGCAGTTAAATATGTTTGATTAGGAGATAAAAGTTTACAGAAAAAAGTTGTAGAAAGTAGTACAAAGTAGAAATAATAGGAATTAACATAGTTGCAAAAAAATTATGGGTACAAGAGCTTAAGGGAAAGAGATCAAGGTGCAAGGGCGGTGAGAGTGCAAGCAAACTACGACTTCGCGGGAGCTGTTCTGCACGGTTGGACTGGGGCTGCTGTCATGATCGGCCTCTTGGGGGAGTGAGGGAAGTAGGCTGGGTGACGGCCAAGTCACCCACGGCAACTGTTGTGCGAGTAGAGCAGAGTCCTCTGCTGATCCCACAGGGAGCTTTAGAAGTGGGATGTTCTCCTAAGTTGTTCAGAGTGAAACGAGCTGGACCATTGTATCTGGATGTGGACTGATCCTTAGGGGAAGCGGTGTGACTTCGAGCAGTGCCCGCTCTCATCAGCCTGGATCAGTTCTACTGTTGGGAACGTTGGGCCACCAAGCTTGAAGCAACTTCAGTTTTAAGGGCTGGACCTAGGCTCTGTGTCGGCATTCACTACAAGAATTCAAGGAGGAGCTTGTTTTGGGAGCCGGGGAGATGTTAAGTTTGGTTTTAGACATTTTGCATTTGGTATTAGATGTGTAGAATTGTATTCGTAGCATTTTCAGTTTACAGAGATTTTTCTCTTCAAATTTCTAGGCCTTAACGGTGCATGACAACCTGGCTATAAAAATTTGCAATGAGATCTTAACAAGCCCATACTCCCCAGAAATTCGGGTCTATACAAAAGCTTTGAGTTCCTTAGAACTCAGCAGCACTCTTGCAAAAGATCTTCTGGTTCTACTGAATGAGATTTTGGAGGTAAAGTAGTTTCTTAATACTCTTCACTAGCTTGAGTTTATATTAAAGTAGAATTTAGATGGTTGCTCTTTACATGTGAGAATACTGTGGTTTTGTTGCTTGAAGTACTCTGTAAATCTCATGAAGTGTAAGAATATTTTTAAACTATTACCTATTGGTATAAACTTTCTTGAACTTTTAAACTTTAAACAAACTTTAAACTTTGTTTTAAAAAGTTACTTTTTTTCTTCCGTTTTTAAATAGCAAGTAAAAGATAGGACATGCCTGAGAGCTTTGGAGAAAATCAAGAGTCACGTAGAAAAAGGAAATAAAGAAGTCGGTGGCCAGACTGTAGCAGCACAGGACGCCAGCACAACTGCTACTGTTTCTGAAAATGAAGCTGGTAATGCCACACTCACCTGAGTATCTTTCATCTTTCCTGAAATATATTTTTTTCTCCTTTCATGTGTTTGGGTTCAGGAATCAGTGAAAATCTTTTTCAAATTCATCCTCTTGGGAAAGAGTATTACTGATGTGTTTATTGTGCTTTTCAGTTTCATTGCATGTACTTGGGACTCCATAGCCATCTTGGCAGTTTTGTTTCTACTGCTGTATACACATTTATTTGGGGACAGTGACTTAGATAAGCCGCTGCTAATAGGGCTGCTTGTCATTTAGATGAAAAAATCATCTAAAATACCGTGGTACCCAATTTATGAACTTAATTTGTTTTTGCACTTTGTGGGAGATGGCCAGGTTGAGTTTATCAACCAATGCAGAGTTTGTGAACACAAGCAAAATTTTACTGAATGCTTTTGTTCACAAATTGAATTGTTTGTAAACAAAAGCGTTCATGAACCAAGGTATTACCGCATTTCATGAGACTGTCTTTTAGTTACATTGTTGTATTACTTCCTTTAATAGAAAAGAATAAAGAAGTATTTATGACTCCCCTTAAAGACATAAAAGCAACCCAAGGATCAGAATCCATTCAGCAGAAGACTAAAAGAGGTATGTGGATTGACTACCTCTTAAAACTTAAATTTTGTCTTCCAATGAAAAACTCTTTGCAAGTTTTCTTATTTACTTGGAGATAAATATTTTTAAATGTCTTAGGTATCTTTAACTTTTTAAAAAAATTCTTTCACTTGGGTTAGTAATACTGATTATAAAATCAGTGTTAGTCTAAGTGATTTTGACAAATATACAAAAGATCATATTGTAAAGGGCAATTTAATTAGATTAGTATTTGGTTAGTTTAGTTTAATGTTATTGTGTCTTACTCTTTATATTACTAAGCATTTTCCATCTTTTCCTGGTATTTTTTCATTTTCTTCCTTTTGCCATCGTATTTCATATCTTCCAATCTTAATTTATTTCCCAAGGGATATCCAACAATATAGGATTTGTTGGAATAAAGTACATGTTTACTGTTAAGGGATCACTTGGAAAAAATCTGAATTCAAGATGTTTTTATTGTTTTATTATTTACTTGTTACAAAAGCAGAACATGCTTATTACAGAAGAATCAGAAAGTACATCCAAGCAAACTACTGTGAAGAACACTAAAAATCCCACCCAATGAGCCAACCATGATTTTAATCTTTGAAAAATATTAAAGACCCTTTCTAAACAGGTTTAAATTTTTTTTTCTAAAATGTTACCTGGCCATAAAGTTGTTTTATAACCAATCAGTTATCTAAACATCAGTTACTAGATACTGCTCCAAATTATTCCCATAGTGTTGGATGCCTTCTAGAGATAAATGCATTACTAAAAGCAAATCAGTAAGTTATGAGGGAAGAAAAGAGTGAAGGTGACTATGGTATGTAATTTTCAAATGTCAGTTGAACAGTTTGCTTTTGATAAATATTAGTCACATAATATACCTTAGGAATATCATCCTTTGTTTTAATAGTCTCAACTTTTACTTCGTATTTTATATATTCTAAATAAGGAATACCACAGGCCAAATTTTATCTTCTTTACCTTGTAAATTTCTAGCAAGTGAAATGCTTGCAATTCCCAATATACACAGGCTCTAGTTTTTATATTGAAATATAGCTTAGAACCCATATTTGAATTGGCTAAGAAGATACTTAAATATTTTACAAGAAGACAGTGTCCTGCTGATTAAATTTCTATTTCAAGGTGGGGCAGGTGGTGCAAGCTTATAGTCCCATTGACTCAGGAGGCTGAGGTTGGAATTGGGGCTGAGCCCCATATGAGACCCTGACTTAAAAAAAATTAGGTACATAAAGTTCTGTTTCATGACCTGTTCATGAACTTAACCTACCTTTCTAACTTTAATTTTCACTTATCTGTCCATATACATTATACTATAGCCATAATAAAGGTACTTTTTCATTTAACATGTCCATAAGCTCTGTCCCCAAACGCATTGGACTAAAACTTGCTGCTTAGTAACTTACAGTATTTTACCTTGCCTATTATCAGTACTTAACAAAATAATGTACATTTTAATCTTCATGTATTTTTTTTTTCTTCTATGGTATATTGATAATTGGCATCAAGGTGTCATAAAATGTGTTGAAGAGAATTGTATTGCAAAAAGGAGTTAGACAACTTGGAAATTAGCTTGGAAACCATAAGCAACTGATAATAAATTTCTGTAATTACACTGTCTTTAAGGACAGAGAAGAGTGACAGCGTCATCTAGGACAAACAGGAGGCGTCGGGCTGCTGAGGCCGAGTCTGAAAGGTGTGCCATATCTAGATATATAAAGAAGCCTATCTGTGTGTGTCAAGCAGTAGAAAAGAATTTAATTTTCTTCTGTGAGAGAAGCTCAGTATGTAACAAGATAGTAAAAATTATGAATAGCTATGACTTGGATACATAGTTTAAAATTCCATTTGTGTATCAAGAGCATTTGATTTATGGCTTGTGTGCTTTTAGCTAATGGCACAGCCTTTAGTATTACTAGGCAGTCATCTTGAGGATGTTCTCTCAATTTATATTTCTATGTATTTTTCTAATTACATGTGTGATTCCTCGAATTAGCAAACTCTTGATGTAGACACATTCGAGTTCTGTGCATTTACAGTAATAGAACAGTGATGTCTACACTTTGAATATATTTGTGGTTTGTGTGATAAACAGTGGTATTTTGGGTTTCTGTCAATTAAGCCACGGTTGGAACTAAAAGTTCATAGCTGTCTTGCATTCATCAGTTCATTGGTAAAGTTGTGTATACTTTTACTACATATCTTTAGATTAAGTCTTGGCTAAACTTTATAAGGTTCATTACAAAAGTTTAGTGTTTTGTTTCCCTGTATAACATCAGGTTTCAGTAGTATATAAAAAATGAGCTAGGTTTTGCATGATCCACTTTGTTGGATCCCCAATGTATTCTGGTTATTATTTGAGATTTTAGTTGAAGCTCTGTGGAATCCAGCTATCAGGTACAGTCTGACAGAACGGCAGTCAGAAACATTTTATTTATAAACAAATGGGTTTTAAAGCTCTTATCTAAACTGATGTATTTTCAACATCTGTCTAGTGATCATGAGGTTCCTGAACCAGAATCAGAAATGAAGACGAGATTACCAAGACGAGCCAAAACAGCAGCACTAGAAAAAAGTAAACTTAACCTTGCACAGTTTCTCAATGAAGATAAAAATTAGGAGAGATAATGGAGGTGGGGTCTTACGTTTATGTTTACTTCTTTGCTTTAATAAAATTATGCATATGTCAAAATCAGAAAAAAGCCTGTTTTTTTCCCTAAAGATTTTGTTGTGTAGTGTCCCTTGACTGGGCTGTACTCAATAAAGCTTAGGACACCATCTATCAGTATAATCCAAGATCATCTGCATCGGCCACGCAGATTTGCATTATCAGATTCAAAGGTGGGTCTAGAAATCTGATTTTTTTTTTTTTTTTTTTTTTTTGGTTTTGGTTTTTCTCCGGTACCGGGAACCGAACTCACGACCTTGCGCTTGCCAGGCAGGCACTTTTGCCACTGAGCTAAATCCCCAGCCCCTGAAATCTGCTTTTAGATAGGCTTCCTAAGTGACTCTTACGTCATCATGGCACTGTGGAAACTTTTTAAGTGTAACTAGCTAGTAGCTTGCGTTTGAGAAGCTTATACTTGAAGCGGATCCAACATAGATGGAAATGCTTCAGAAAACAGTGACGTTTCAAGGGAAAATGGAATATCACAGACTGACCAGAAAGGAGCATATTACCAATGAGGAGAACTAGTATAGTGAACCAAAGTGCTTATCATCCAAGCTGAACACTTACGTGATAAGCTTGTATTTTTGGTGTGGCTATCTGTATGGGTATCTCTTCTAAAATATTTTTATCTGGAACCCACTGTTTTATGAATGTTACTGAGTTAGAGCCCCATCCACATATAAATCATGAAGCTGCTTTCTGGTTTTGGCATAACAAAATATGTTATTTATGTGAAAAATAATAGTGGGAAGTGAAGTCTTAATATTCTAACTTGGGAGCACTTTTTCTTCACTATCAATTTCACTGATCATCTTTTGAATCCCTCTGATGGAAATGTCCTAACATGGATCTGTTTAATTGTGCTTTTTGATTTATTTAGTAAAGGTTATTAATGTTCTAAGCTGGAGCTAAAGTAATATTGCTGGTTTTTAGAACCCAATTATTATATTATTTACATATATGTGCTTTGTAGAACTCAGAAATATAAAAGCAGTAAAAATTCCAAAGCAGGAATGCTTACTAAGCAAAAGGAAAAGGCAGATGTGGCAATGGTACAAATCACTGATTGTTCTTCATTCTCTTGGCTCTGTTTCTTTTCCTGTGCTTCAAATTCTGTCTATCTTTTGTCAAATCCCTGCCATTTGAAAAATAACTCTTAGGAGGGGGTAGGAAGAAAGAAGGCCTGAAACAGTATATAAGATGTGCTGTACGTGTTTAGAGACAATAAACTAAAATTCCGTTTGCACATGGCGAAGATATCCAAAAGGAAAGGAACCATGTTCATATATGGACCACTGTACCAAAGCTTGCTTTCTCTAGCAGAGAAAAACAAATTGAAGCACCAGATTTTTAGTACTTTTCACTATTCAAATTTTAGAGTCACACAGCCATTGCTCAAGATGTGCTGTACGCTATTAAAGAATATTAACCTGTTTCTAAATTATCCCTTTAAACTTTAAAATAATTGGCTAAGATACAATAAAACTAACAAATGTAAATCCATTTACTATTTTGCATTCAAAATTGGTAACTTTTGGCCACCAGACAGTGTTTTTATGGAACTACCAAGAGGCATGGATTTGCTGAAGGGTAAACATGCAGTTGTGCCATTACTCTTACAGCCTATGGAGAAAGAGAACTGATCAACTCGTTTGTCTAGGAGTGGAAGCATGCTATCTAACGATAAACTGTGATTGAGCTTCTATACAGATGTAACTGTGAAAGATGTGTACTTCCAAGAGATACCTCTGTCTTTTTCTTTTTACCAGTTTGCTTCGAGGTAGTTGGTATCCACCTGTTAGACAGCTGTTCCTGGGTCAGGTCACCACAAGTCTTTACAATACTAGTTTTCTAGGTTACATGATGTGTTGTATATTAAAACTTTGTGCACAGAAGAAAAACTGGGGACAATTATATATTTAAACTTAGAGCATAAAAAATTCACAAAATACCATTAAAGAGAGAAACATCAAAGTCTACTGCAAAATTCCACAATGGTCTGGTGTATAACATGTAAAAAAATACAAAGAATATAATAAAAATGATTAATGTTCATGATTTAATATAAAGACATCACAGGACTAGAAATAGTTCAAGATCAATTGGTAAATGCTTATTCACAGAGAATGTTCACATACAAAATAAGAACTGCAATCTATTTTTCTTCACTTTTGAGATTTTGGTTATGAACTGTACAGCTCGCTAGAGATGCTGCTGTCAAATTCAGATTCCATTCAATGGGACGATTAAGGCACATCTTAATTGGGCTCAAAGGGCAACTTGCTGTATTCCCATCAGACAAATTCAGTTTCTCATCGGTTTTCATTTGTAGCATGCTGAAAAAAAAAGTATAAGGCATTTTAGTTTTACTTTAATTTCAAATAAATTATCAACCTTATAAAAGAGAATTCAGTAGTACTATTGTTTGGACCTCCAAACAATGCAATAGATACAGTATTTACCATCCTGAAGGTACAAGTTTTATGTCTCCATACTGAATACAGTGATCTCGGCCATATGGAAGCTGGGAACTGCATTCCCTCATATCACTGGACAGAACACTGCACTGCACACGTGAAGGACATCCGTATACGTGAGAAAAGACAGCCTACTGGCAAGATTCAGCCCTTTAGCTTGTTTCTTAATGTTCCACTATCAAAGCCACTTTGCCTACTACGTTCTAAACACCTTCACATGCATTCTTACTTGATAATGAATGGTACATGTAATAAATGATAGATGTATCAGAGTTAAACGCAAATATCCTGAGGTCATAATATCCGTAGTCTGGAATGGGAAGTAAAATCCTTGATCTGTTCCTTCCAGCTTGTCTGCTAACCCTCTGCTGAGGCTGATAAATCATCAGTAGAAAAATAGTCGTTTTGTTGGTGGGACAGGACACCTGGCGGCCACCCCACCCGAGGAGCACACGTGGCATCCGCTGTTGTGGCTGCCCGCTTTAAAGAACATTCACACTGATGGGAAAGTTGCGGGCTGAGCTGGTCAGATCTCTTCAATCAAAGCAGCAGTGAGGGGATGAATCTAGGGCAGACAGCTCCTGGACACAGCTCCATCTGCTCACTGTTGCTCCTTCTTGGGAACCTTGCCCTTCACCATGTTTAACCAAACTTGCTTCAAGGCCTCACCCAAACTTCACACCTTGATCATGTTCTGGGTGTGTAGTAAAACACACAATCGTGCGCTTGATTGTAAACTCTTGCACATTGTAAACTCCACTGTTATGTTTGATAACCCATCATAGGTTTAAATGGAAAGGTTAACATTCTTGTACCTCTGGGAATAGCAGTAGCTGCTCACCTAAAATTCAACAGATAGAATTCGTGAAACATCTGGACTAGGGCAACCCCTCAGAATCAGAAATTTGAAAATCTGAAGGGTACCAAGTCTATGCACATATAAATTTAACACACATGTAAATATTAGGCTTATAAACTATTCAGTAGCTTGCTCATTTGATGTTAACTCTGGCTAGTTGAACTGGTCTGTATTCTTAATGTTTCTCAACTGTCTGTGAATCCTCCAATCAGAAATGAGGACACTGAGGTCCTAGTACGTAAGCGGTTGGGTAGAGCTGGGCAACAGCAAGCTCCAGACTGCAGTAACAGTGTGAGGCCTCCTTGCCGCATCCATCACCTGGCTGCTCTGACATCCCACAGGCCAGTCCTGTTACACCGCGTGTTCACCGCCACCTTTCTCGCTGCCTTCCCCAGCAGTCCTCGTCTCACTCAGTGTCATGGTTTAAATTTGTATAACCAGACACGCGGCAAAATGACAAAATGTCAATTGGCTTATTCTTCATTACAGTAGTTAAAGCAGAGATATGGGATTAATAGGAACATAATCAAATTATGTCAGTAAGAGACAAGTCAAAGGGATTTAAAATACATTTTCATATCAGAAATGTTGATTTTTAGAAAATCTTACATTGTTTACAGTTAGACTGAGGTCTTCAGAGAACTTAAGTTTTTGTTTTTCAAGGAAGCAAAACTCGAAAAAGCACTTGATATACATCTTTGAGAACTCATGGTAAGCTATAAATACACAGCAATCAAGATAGACTGCCAGTTAAGCATATGAAATATTAAAACTAAGAAAGAACTCAGATCCACATTTTCATATGAAAATAGTAATGTAAGAACTACATTTACTTTCAATATTTAAGGCAGCTCTTTAAAAATGTTGATTTTCTAGAATGGTGCTACTACCAACACGGGTGCACAGACCTCAGGGTTGCACAAAACTGCATAGACATAGGAAGAAAATAGCAGTTTTTACTAATTTATTTTTGAGACAGGGTCTCAGTATCTAGCCCAGGCTGGCCTCAAACTCAAGGTGATCCTCCTGCCTCAGCCTCCAAGTGCTTAGAAGACATGCATGCACCACCACTCCTGGCTGAAAATGCCAGTTTTGAAAGAAGTAAATGCTACTATTAAGGTGCAGATTAACATGTTTAATTGATATACTCTTAAACTAGTGAGTTGGAGTATTATGGGTTTATAGAATATTAAGAACGAGAATAATAGCTATGTTATGAAGTGCTGGAATCAAAGATATTAGAACATTAAGGCTAGCGGATATCTTTCTAGGCCTTTTAAGAGAAAGAAACTAAGATACAGAACACAAAGCTGCTCTGTTTCAGGGTATCAGATATCCAGACGTATGTGGGCTAAAACAAGAACCTGATTCTCTGATTAATACTTATCTAGATCTCTTTTCAATACCAGAGTCAGTGCAAGTATTTAATAAACAATACCCATTAGAAAGTGCTTTTGGGGTACAAAGATGAAGAAAGTGTAGTCTACGCTTTCAAAGTTTGCAATCTAGAGGAAATTGTAAAAATTCCTTAACATTTGCAAATTAAAACTTAGTAATGTTACATACAGTGTACATTGATACTGAAAGTTTAATGTTACTCCTTTTCTTGATTAGTCTTTAAACAGTATTTTTTGTCTTTGTCATGGTTTAAAATGAACACATTTTGCAAAATTATCACAACCTGGACAAACGTTA